ATTTCGAATCATTTCTCTGCGAAGATCAGACTTGACGAGTGGGTGAATTTGCAAATCTTCAGAATCACGCTAAACGAAATGCAATCTTTGTACTAGTGTTGCAAAGTACTTTGAGTACTTGAGTGTACTTTGAGCTTAGCGGAAACACATCATTGCTTGTGCACGAGTTCTTCTTTAGTTATGGGTTGATGATGTAAGAATTGGAGCAAATTGTTATGCTTACTTAGATTTGAATCTTTGAATCTTTGAATCTTTGTGCTTAAGAATGTAAACGTCTCCTAGTGCATTCAATTCTTCATTTTCTTGTGCTTCATCAAGTTTTTTTGTGCCAGAAAAGATGTGTTTACGCGAAAGAAGGTACATTCAAACAAAAACTTTGCTGAATGATCTTTAAAAACAAATAATCTGCTTACTTTTCAGTGATTGAGACTCAAATCAAAATCAGCTATGAGCAGACTTTGATTGACTTTAATTGAAAGAAAAAATTGCTGACTTGCATTGAAATTTCGTCTATAACTAAGTCGATAGCTTTAAATAATCGTTATAGATTAAAAGAATTTAGTAATGAAAAGAAGCCCGAGAAATGAATAAATAATGAAATCCTTCAGCCACTGAATGAAACTAGAGTTTAAATTTGAAATAATGTATGCAAAAATCTTGCACGAAACTTCTAGTTTGAGAATAGAGTTCTACAAGCTATTGTAGAACTTTGTCATCATTGTAGACTTACAATTAGTTCAAGCGAAAGTCTAATCTTGTACGAATCTTCTAGTTTGAGAATAGACAAGGGAAAACCCGAGTAAAGAAGCCAAAAGTCGTAAAATCTCTCTCATCTTTTTTTGCAGTGAATTGAAGTATTTCTTCGGGATTCACTTTTCCGAAAAAAAGAGATGAAAAATATATAATATGACTATAGAATCTCCATTTTTCTTTCTTTTTCCTCAGAAATCTCGTCGAATTTGGGGATTCTTCTTTCAAAAATATGTAGATGGGCTTTGCCTTCTTTTTGCGTTTAGTTTTTGACGGATCTCTCATCAATCTTTAGCCAAAAAGCGGCTTTACGAGCATATTTTGAGAGAAGATTCCATATGAATCTGCAAGAAAACAAGAAAAATCAAAACAATTGTAAGAGTGATGTGATTTTTGCAAAGCTAACTACAAAGGTTTTACCTGCAATGGATCACTTTTGTTTGTGGAAACTTTGAGCAGAGTCAAATCAGATGATATCAAACTTTTAGGATTCTTACCTTTCACTCATCCATTGAGCTAAAATCGATTGGTAAAATGCAATTTGTAACTACAAGCTATTGTAGAACTTTTTCATCATTCTAGACTTACAATTAGTTCAAGCCAAAGTCTAGTCTTTAAATTCTGTAGATAACTGTGAAAACTTTTCCCTTGTTTCAACGAGCTGCTTGTAGATGATCAACTCGTCCAATCAACCCACTGATAAATGCGAATCATATTTGTTTGAGCCACCAGCTGACTTCTCAACTTTCCCTTGATTAGCCTCAATAAAGAAATGTTCACTTGAAGATTTATTTCCCCACGCATCGTTTCTCAATTGCTTTAGCGTGATTGTTCACGAAGAACTGGATCGATGAGCCTTGAGCGATCGAGTTGACCGACCGCTCAAAGTTCACTGTTCTCATCGATGGTACGGTAGGTGATAAACAAAAGAATAAAGAAATAAAACTTGTTCAAGGGAAAGTTTCATTTACAAATATACAGAGGTAGCCAGAGTTCTGCAACAAAAGCAAAATCGAACTACATTACTAATTACTACACTTTAATATAGAGATATTTAACATAGAGAAACTTTCGGTCAAACTCGGACCATCTAATTGGAAGAGTCGATTCAGTTAAATGGTTCATAACTCCAGGTCTAGAAACTCAAACAATTCATGGTTTCTTTTATTAGAATCTACATGAAATTTTAAAATAGAAATATAAACTGCAGAATCTAACATATTGCGTGTTTTGAAGTGTAAACCTTCTACAGTACTCTTCCTGATTCAACATTTCTTTAAACAGCTTCGTGCCAAGTATTCGTTCTCATTCCATAAACTTTTTTTGAAGCAGTACAATAATCTAAACAAAACAAATAACAGGTGTAACGAAGGTGAAAACGTCAAACTGTAAGACTTAAAATTACCGAATTCCAATTGAATTCATCCATCGAAATCTTTCATTTTTTTCAGATTTTTCAATTCTCGAATAGCAAAATGCTTAAGCTTTTAAAACACTTTAAAACAGGCTTTAAATAATAGTTAAACTAAAAAAGCTTAATTGCATCGAAAACCAGATGAAAATCTAACAAAAAAACCGATTTTTAAGTTCTTGAAAATTTGGGTATACTACGAAAAAGAATTTTTGGAGTGAGATTGAAAAATAGAAGAGAATGTTTATGGTAGTTGATTCTCTTTTATTACAATGTTTATTGTAGGATTTTCTCAACAATTTGCAAGCTACAACTATACATTTAACTCCACTAGTTCACTCGACTCCTCGACTTTTCTTCAATGATTCGTTTCTTCTTGAGGTCTTCTATTAATTAGCTTTGCCTTTTTGAGTCGGCTTTTGAAAAGAAACGTCTTTCACTTCAATCTTTTCTATGTGACGTCTATCTTCGTGAAATCACAGACTTGAAGAATTTGATTTCTAGGTGAGATATGTTCTCACACTTTTACATTTTCTTTTTGCCTTTTACTTTTGAGATGGAGAAAATGACGTAACTGGCAATAAATAATTGAAATCTCATTGATATTAACGCCCTAGTTATACATGTCATATTCTATTTTCAAATTATGATATCACAAAATTTAAACACTGGTGAATATGATAGCCTCATAGCTTTGTTGTTTCTTAATCCAATTATAGTAATTTGTTCAATTTCCTTCAAAACATCTCATCGAACGTTTCTGACCACTATATTATTGGTCTTTTGCTGATCTAGTCTATATTATGAATTTTTGTAAATGCCAAGTGCCAATTTATAAATTTGAATTGCTCAATTCAAGTAGTGAATCTTGAAAAGCTTTGTTCCCTATCTCCCTATCTATCAATATCTCAACAAACTTGGGTCCCTATCGCCACCAATTTGGTTCCCTATCTCAACAAATTTGGTTCCCTATCTGGGCAAACAATATAATTAAGCTTTCTTGCAAAATCTTCAACAGAAAATTGATTCACTCAATCAAAACAAATCCGAATGCAGAAATTCGAATATTTTCCGCAAAGAGTTTCTCTATATGAAAGCAAAGAAGGAGTTCCTGCAATAAATCGGTGATTTCACTGCCCGTTGCCTAAAAGGTCGAGGGAATGGAAGAGATGCTTCAGGCTTAGGCTATGTTCTCCCATTCCTTTACCCATTCCTTTACCCATTTTCTTTTCTTTCCCTATTCTCCTTTCTCTTTTCCATAAATAGAAAGTTCTTCTCTTTTCACTCAAAACCACTTTAATGACCATTTTTGATGACTGGGAAAACCTTTATAAGAACAACAATCTGATCAAACAATGATCTGATTAAACAATGATCTGATTAAACAATGATCTGATTAAGCTTCAAACTTTTTCGTTTAATTCTCTTTTATCTTTATATCTTGATTCCTTTTTCTTTAGACCTGAAACAGGAAATTACTTGAGAAATCCACTTGAACTTTATTTAAGAGAACCCTCTTGAAAAAAAAGACCTAGAATGCTGGATTGAAAATCTTCTATTAAAATGTTCTGGCCCAGGCACACCAAACTATTTATCATTTACCAACTAGCAATTTTGCTAAATAGATTATCAGTTTAGCAGTTTAGCATTTACAAATGTTGCAAAATCAATTTAACAATTAGCATTTAGCATCCCTAAATACTAAATGCTAAATAGCAAAAAAATTTTGCTAAATTTAGCAAAATTAAGTTCTGTTTTGCAGTCTGAATCCTCTGATGCCACCAAATAAAGCTAACATAAGTTTATGTGCTCAAAATTGGCTAAATTTTGGCTTCTTTTGTAACCAGAGTATGTCAGAGTTTGAATCTGTAAGTAGCCTTTTTTGGTTTCTTTGTTCAAAGCAGAGCTGTAAGTGTTTTTCGGAGCTAGCGGCACTGCTAAAAACTGGTGATGCTAAATTGCTAAAAATGCTAAATTTAGCAAAACTTTGTTAAATTCAAACTTGCTAAATGCGTTGGTGGACTTGTTGAAGTTTGCAAAATGGAAGTTTGCTAAATTTAACAGTTGCTGGACCCGTCCTAGATCCTAGATTGGAGTCCTAGATTTTGGAGTGGCCAGGCACAAGGTTGATCCTGGACATTTACGGACAAAACCTAAAGTTGTTAGCCCAAGTTCTTTTTCTTTACCTAAACCCTAAAACAGACCAAACAAAAGCCTTGACTAGCCTTATTTTTTACTAAAAAAAATCTTCTCAAACTACTTTATAGTAGACTTCGGAAAACAAAACTTAGCCAAAACCACCAAAACCAAAACCAAAACCAAAACTAACCAAAACTCGCCAATATCTCGCGACTGGGAGGAGCTAGCGAAAATCTGTTTGCAGATTTGAAATCAGCATCCAAAAATCTATCCCATAGGCTATTTTTTGTTTCGAAATTTCGATGTCGTGTTTTGGTCCTTTTTTCGGCCGCGAGATTTTGTGGAGTGAGAAAAAGTGAAAGGCAAATTTGCATTTTACAATTTTAAATTTACATTTTACAATTTTAAATTTACATGTTAATTTATATGCAAATTGAGTTTTGGTTTTGGTTTTGGTTTTGGTTTTGGTCTGTTTTGGTTTTGGTTTTGTTTGCCGAACTCTACTTTATAGCATTTTGGAACCGCCTTGAAAATAAAAATTCAAATTCTCATGAATTTTTCCCACGTTTTTCTTTCAGAATCGCTAGGTGATTCTGAAAGAAATGAACATGCAAAACGTTAGTCATTTTCTCAAGTTTTCCTTTTTACCACTTCAGTTTCAATTAAAAATTCAAGTATTTTTCAGCAAATTTTCAGCAAAATGATGCCATTGAGACGGGTGTTGGGTCAACTCTTGCTACTCGTTCTGTTCACTGCTTTGGTTCACTCACAAGCTTAGTGAGTTTATGAGAAAACGATCAAAATAAGAACAGAATTCGAATCATTGAATAATTGAGAATGTTTAGTGGTCCGTACACAAACTATGGTCGATACTCGTCATCATATTATCCGTACTATCGACGTGGACCTTCTCCTTACGGCGTTGGGGGCGGGAATTATGGAGCCGGAGATTACTACACTTCTGCACAAACACAGGGAATTTACTATAGAAAGTGAGTTGAGAAAGAAGCAAAATCAACCTAACCAAATATTCATTCGGTGAAGATTAAATCTAGCTTTTTTATATGATAAAGTCTCAGTCTCTTATCATAGTACTGAGTTAGACTTGGAAGATCGAAAATATTAGGCTGGTGAATTGAAAACTGCGGGACTTTGAACTACAATTTATTCAACATAAAACCATCAATTCATTCCAAATAATTTCCATTATTATTGACGACTTCTGCTCATTTTACAGGCAATTTGCGGATTCCTCTTTCGTGGTAGGATTTTGGTTTGTGTGTGAGACAAGTGTGAGACTCAAAAATGGAGGACTGGAGATGTCCCAGTTTGAGCACTTTCTTCAAAAGAAACCCACTTTGGTGTCAATAGAAAAGTTGTAGAGAATCAAAAATTAGGCTTATAGCCAAATTTTCAAAAAGATACACTTAGTAGTTTCGCTTAAAATGCAAGTTTTGTTGCAAGTTTTGTGAAAGTTCGTAAATTTTGCATTTCTTGAAAACCAGTTTTTGAATCGTTCTGAAAAAAATTTGGATATAAGTTTGATTTTTGATTCTCTACAGCTTTTCCATTGACCCCAAAATGGGTTTCTTTTGAAGAAAGTGCTTAAACTGTCACATCTGACAATAGCCCGGAGTTTTCAATTCACCAACCCAATAGATTGAGATTAGCCTTGATTTGAGGAGAAGTCAATGTCCAATTTAAGGATTCGGAGCCGCCAGTTTAGTTTGGCAATGATAGAGGGAAGGGGCTTATGTAAAAACCCTGCGCCAGACGACGAGCGATTACGCGACCGCACATAGAACACACAGAACACACACAAATTTAAAGCGAAACTACTAAGTGTATCTTTTTGGAAATTTGGATATAAGCTTGATTTTTGATTCTCTACAACTTTCCATTGACACCAAAATGGGTTTCTTTTGAAGAAAGTGCTCAAACTGTCACATATGATAATAGCTCGCAGTTTTCAATTCACCAACCCAATACTTTTTCTTTAAGCCTTTAATACTTTAAACTACTTACTCGCCTTTATCATTGTATCATATATTATCAAATATTTGATCTTAATCATATTTTTATAAAAATTTTGGTAATTTTTAAGCATTTCATTAATTTTAGCCCTCTCAAGCCGCCAGTGATGTTAATGTGCGAGGGGAGAGCTTGTCAAGGACAAGGGTACATGTTAGGGTAAAAGAAGTTAATTTAACAAAAAAGAAATCACAATCTTTATACAATATCATTTCATTGATAGTCCTCTTGATCGTTCTTGTCTTACGAAATCATTCGAAATCATTCTGTACATATTTTTCCTCTTTCTCCCATTTATTCATTGATTTTTCTATTGAAAAATTACATCTAAAAAGCTGAAAGCTAAAAGCTTTACAATAATTTATTGTCAATAAATATTTATTGTTATTGCAATCATCAATAAATCAATCAATCAATCAATAAATTAAAACATTTGAGTGAATGCTGAAATGGGCACACTGTGATCCTGCTGGCGGAGGAGTTTCGCGTCGATTCTAAATGAAATTCTGCAATACTGACTTTTATTATCATTATATAGCCACTATTCATATCAAATTCGTATCGACATTTTGTCTACATTTTCCTCACTCACTTGTAAATAAGTTGCTGATACTTCTCCCAGGGCATCACCGTCAACGATACCGTTCTCGGCGCGTTCTCCAACACTTGACTCACCTCTTTAGACTAAAAATTGTTTTTTTGAATGTTTGCATTGTTAACTATGAGAATATGTGATCTCTAAAACAAACACAATAAGCGACGACACTGATTCCATCGATTTCGACAATCGCCTGATTGAGCGTGAGTCCATTCTTTGAAGCCGACGAGTTCGGGGCAACGGCGGTGATCTTATTGTCTTTGTGCGTGAGCCCAGTTTTTCCGTTCTCATCTTTGTGCAAAGTGATCACTCGACACGAAGGTCTAAAAAGGATTACGGTAGTTTTAAATAAATATTAGAAAATTTCTGTAGACTTAAGAAAAGATCTGATAGTGAGAACTCGCCTATCTCGAACGGCCACCAAAATGCCCTCCATTGGTGGAATCTTTTCGATCAACTGCATCGCCTAAACGGATTGTTATTGCATTGGGATTGCATTGGGATTGCATTGGGATTGCATTGGGATTGCATTGGGATTGCATTGGGATTGCATTGTCATTGCATTGTCATTGTCAGCCATTGCATTGTCATTGTCAAAGCCATTTCAAAACTCTCAAACCTTCGAATTTCCCATTCCAAAAACCTCCTTGCCATTGAGTTGCAAGATTTGATCGCCGAATCGGAGTCCTTGATGAGCGGCTGGGGACTCTTTCATCACGAATTGCACGAAGAGACCCTGAAATTGAAAAGTTTAACTCCTAAGTTTCTTATATAATTAAAAAAAAAGAATTCCTGCCAGTTGCCCACTTTCAAAACTCACCCGATCGATCTCTGTCAATCGTACCCCAATCTTTCCCTCGTTTGTTTTCGGGATGAAAAGATTTCGCACGCCATGGTGGAGATTTGCCTAATTTGCCAGATTTGAAGTATTTTTATGTTTTGATACCTGCTCAAATCCAGGAGCCAACGAGGTGATCGGCGCGACTAATGAGCTGACACTGTAGGAGAGAGCGGGGAGGTTGGCTCTCTAAAGAAATTTAGGTAAAAACTCACCCTTTTCTTGTAGGATTTTACAATTGCCTTCTAACAGTCTAGCAATTTTTTTATTTACCTGAGCACCTAACACCGAGTGTCGCTCATCGTACGAGATTTGATGATGCAGGAGAGGAGTGCTTGCGGACAAATTTGGCTCTAAAACTTGTACACATTGGGCATTAAACAAAAATTATTTAAATGCTTTGTTTAGACTTCAAAATGACACTAGGAACAGTGGTATTTCACTTGAAAGATTTCCTTAAATAAACCTTGACTTGAAGTTGGTTGATCGCCGATTTGTGGATAGAGATTCGGATAGAATGAATGAAGAGAAACGGTTTCAGCCTGTGATGCATTTGTGAGAGTTCCAAAGGGAGCAGCCGGCACCTCGGCTCCACAATTCGCATGAGGCAAAGTGGCAAATGGAGCGGTGGGGAGAGGACGGTTGGCCTGAATTGAACGACATACTGTATCGAAAACTGTATCGACTTGTATCGAAAACAGCTGTCGATCCTTTTTGCCGTTGGCATTCTAAGGTTTTTCGTGTTTTTCTCAGCACCATCCCTTCAATTTTGGCTATTTTAATCATCATTCGATTCAGAATAGAATACCGCGTCGAATAATGCCAAAATGAACTCAAAATATAATATCCATGCAAAGTTGTTGGCTAAAAACCTAAACCGCGCTCATTATGGGCGAGACTTAACCTTTTACCTCATAATTTTGCAAGAATGTTATATTTTGAGTTAATTTTGGTATCATTCGACGCGCAATTTTCTTGTGCATCAAATGATAGGCAAAATACCGTATTCTCTCTGATAGTAGTGCACCCTGAGGGTTGCTTAAATTGCTCGAAATCTCGAGAACCGCTTATCAGAACCTATCGATGTGGGGTCGGAAAATGTAGCTGACGATGAGATCTCGTGGGGGATTTGAGTGTTGAGCTTCTGCGAAAACTTAGAAAGCTGTAAAATAGTCATCAACTCGGCTCACCGGGAAATATACCGCCTTCTCTCTAATAGTAGTGTATCCAAAGCTTCGCCTAAATTGCTCGAAATCTCGAGAACCGCTTATCAGAACCTATCGGGGTCGGAAAATGTAGCTGACGATGAGATCTTGTGGGGGATTTGAGTGTTGAGCTTTTGCGAAAACTTAGAAAGCTGTAAAATAGTCATCAACTCGGTGCACTACTATTAGAGAGACTACGGTAGTCAACATCGAAGGGTTGGTGCTGAGAAAAAGACGAAAAACTTTAAATTGCTAACGGCAAAAAAGGATCGACAGATGTTTTCTACTACAGACAGACTTCGGTGATGCTCTAGTAATTAAATGTTCTAGTAATTTTGCTAATTATGGCTGAAACAACAAGCCTGAAAATTGTACTAAGTACTGTTTCGAAAATTAGCAGAAATTCCTGCACTAACCTGCATATTCTGGTCAACAACCATATCCTCAAGTGACGGGTAGACCAGCATTTTGGTCTAAAGAATTAAAAAAATAAATGGAAAATGGAAAATTGAAAAAAAAAATCACATGAAAGCATCTAGATCAAAACAAAATGATACGGAAGATCAAAGGTTTAACTGTTACGAAACCACTAGAGGTCATGAAAGAAAGAGACTGCTGATTAAGCCAATTCCCAAATCAATCAAGGAAAAAATTGTCTCTGTATGTCTCCATAAAAGAGCAATGCTTATCGTTTCACTTGGTGCCTTTTGGGACAAAAAAAGAAAAGAATGAGGCAAATATTGAAGTCTAATAGCTAGCATATGAAAAAAATTGTCATCTCGCGATTTGTTAGTAAATAATCATTCAAACTTTCAAGTAAAAGGAAGAAATTTATATATTTATATGTTGTGTCCGATTTAGATTTCCGTCCGATTTAGATTGGACTTATCGCGGACGTCCACTTTAGATTACAGTCTATATCGGACGTCCGATTTAGATTCAATCTAAATCTTATATATGTTGTGTCCGATATAGACTGTAATCTAAATTGGACGTCCGCGATAAGTTCAATCTAAATCGGACGTCCGATTTAGATTGAATCTAAATCGGACACAACATATATCCTTTATCCGACAAGGAAAAGTGACAATGCAAACAGATTGAACAGCGTAGACGAAGAAAGATAATTGATATACAAACACAACTACAATTAGACACGTGTATATATGACATTAAAAACTAATTTAAAATTGACAGAGCTACAAGATCGAGCTTATATATTGAGGATTTAAAATAGTTCAGAGACGAAAAAATATCACAAGGTAACTTATTCCAAATACGAGGAACACGACAAGCAAAAGAATGATACAGTTGGCGGTTATGAAAGCTTTGAAAGGGGGTAATCTGAAAGTTGTGACTACGAGTTCTTCTGGCGTGATTCGAAATCTTAAAGAGTCCTTTAAGTTCCGGATGAGAGTTAGGAGAGAAGATGATTTTATAGCATAAGACCAAATCAAAATAAATGCGGCGATGGGATAAGGGTTTAAGGTCAAAAAGAGCAAGTCGATCAGAATAGCAAGGAATTTCTTTCGATGGGAAACAACGGGCATACGCCCTCCTACGGAAACGACGCTGAACGTTCTCAACCAAAGAAATTAACTTTTGGAGGCAGGGAGACCAAACAAAAGTGGCGTACTCGAGCAAAGGGCGGCAGTAGGTAATGAACGCTTTACGATAAGTAGCAATTGAGGGAAAACAAACAGCGCGAAGTATAAGGTTTGAGATGCGAAAAGCTTTTTTTGCCATTTGAGAAGTTATGCTGTATGTTATCTCGAGAATCTTCCTTTTTGATAATGTTAAGCTAATTAAAGCTGTTATTTAAACTCAAGATAGTTTTGTAAGTGATTAAAGTTTTTTTTTCGTAGAAGAAATAATGATTTTTAAAAAAAACTAGGGAAAAAGGAGGTGATTGTGCAAAGAAAAACTAGGAAAAAGGAGAGTGCCTGTGTGTCGCTGAGCTTTTCTGAGCTTTTTTTTTTCCTTTTTGTGTGAAAGGCTTATCTTCTCATGATCTGTAAACATAATCGGCATCACTTATCCACAAAAATCAACGACAAATTCACTAACAAATCAAAATTTGGGAAAAGAAATCAAAGAAAACGGGTATTTCCGTATAACGTATAAAGTGTAAACTGGCGTTCCCAAATACTTAAATTGGACATTGACTTCTCCTCAAATCAAGGCTAATCTCAATCTATTGGATTGGTGAATTGAAAACCGGGGGCTATTATCATATATGACAGTTTGAGCACTTTCTTTAAAAGAAACCCATTTTGGTGTCAATGGAAAAGTTGTAGAGAATCAAAAATCAGGCTTATATCCAAATTTTCAGAACGATTCAAAAACTGGTTTTCAAGAAATGCGAAATTTACGAATTTTCACAAAACTTGCATTTTAAGCGAAACTACTAAGTGTATCTTTTTGGAAATTTGGCTATAAGCCTAATTTTTGATTCTCTACAACTTTTCTATTGACACCAAAATGGGTTTCTTTTGAAGAAAGTACCCAAATGCTCAAACAGGAACATCTCCAGTCCTCCATTTCTGAGTCTCACACTTGTCTCACACACAAACCAAAATCCTACCACGAAAGAGGAATCCGCAAATTGCCTGTAAAATGAGCAGAAGTCGTCAATAATAATGGAAATTATTTGGAACGAATTCATGGTTTTATATTGAATAAATTTTAGTTTAAAGTCCGACAGTTTTCAATTCACCAGCCCAATAAATAGTTTAAGAAAATAAAAAAGCAATTAGTGAACTAAAAAGTAATATTAAAGTATTGAAAAGATTCCAATCTATCAAATAAGCTCAAAACAAAATCAAAATCAAATCAAAACGCGGTTTTGTGGAAGTAAATACAGCTCACGAGTAAGTGAGAAATTTGAAAACAGTCCTCTTTTAGCAAATTTTCATTCATTCGCTTATCAAAAGATTGAGTTTTCCTCTCAATTTGACCATTTTTCCCTTTCTTTTCCCTGTTTTTCTTTTTCCTTTCATATAGAATCTGTTTTCTAATTGTGAAAAAGAAAATTCTTCGCACCCTTTTCCCATTTTTTCTTCTTCAAGAAACAAAAAGATTTGAAATTTGTCATCGGAACAAATTCAAAAACAAAGAAAAAATGATTGATCATTTTATTTCAAAGGTTTCAAAGAAATTCTATAGAATTTTCCAAGTTTTCAGTCAAAAAAACTTATCTCAGCACTTGTTGAACGTTAAAAAAAACATTTCATTAGATAAAATTGTGTCTTTTTGAGGGGCAAATAAAAAAAAAGAAAAAAAAAAGAAAAAAAAAAAAAAAGAAAAAAAAAAAAAAGGAAAAGAAAGGAGAAGAAAGAAGGTAGGCTAGGGGTAGGCTAGGGGTAGGCTAATTTCCGCAAATTTTAAAACGGCGAGGCAAGCTCGATCCTTTAACGCTCCTTTCCCTTTATCCATTCCAAAAGGGAAGCAGCTTATGCCGAAGGGGTTTGTCAGATGGCGAGCGATTGTGCGCGCGCACAAAGAACATTTCGCCGTGACTTCATACAGTGATTTTGCTTTGACTTTGAGAATGGCTTTTGATTTCAATAAAAGCAAATTACATTAATTTAGACCGATATGCACGATGCGTGGAATTTTTTAATTTCGACAACAGGGTCTCTTGCGCAACTTGCCATAACTTTCTTCTAAGTCGACAATCGTTATGATTTTGATTTCATTTTGTTGCACTTATTGAGATCTACAGAATGAAATCAAAATCATAAAGATTGGCCCACTTAGAAGAAATTTATGGCGAGTTGCGTAAACGACCCAGTTGCGCAAATAACCCTATTGCGCAAAAAAAATTGCGGAAACTAGCCTACCCCCAAATATGTTGTTTTTTTTTAAAACTAAAGCACAAAATATTAAATCACTTTTTAGATGCATTTCTTTGCGTGATAACAATTTCGAAAATCAAGCTATCCATAGTTAGAATATGAGCTCTCAATCTCTCGATACAGCACTTTATGAACTTCGTGGGCTTTTGGACGAGATTTCGCCTCAAACTTCCAACACCAGCACATGACTTTCCATCTGAAAATCAAGTTTTAGACAATTACTTTACATGGTTTTAAATTTGCAAGTTGGCTATAATTATAAATTGCATAAAATTAAATTCTCTCTGATGTTTACAATTTACATTCTCTCTGATGCCTCTGCAGGTCGTTCCAATCGTCGTCCTTCTCGCAAAAATGATAAAATCTCTTCTGGTTGCATCGAGTGATACGGCTGTTGACCAAGGGAAAACATCTCGAAAAGAAAAACCCCGAAACTCCAACTAAATTTCGTTTAAAAGATTAAGAATTAAGCTTTCAATCTACATGTCGGATTTGTTGGAGAACTCGTTTCTCTCCAAAGCCTCGGGCGCTGTCCATTTCACCGGCAATCGACCACCTCTTGCAACATAATGTTGATCTTGGCTCAAACGACATAGACCGAAATCGCCTAACTAAAGTTTATTATTAGTTTATTTGTTTATTAGTTTATTAGTTTATTAGTTTATTAGTTTATTAGTTTATTTGTTTATTAGTTTATTAGTTTATTAGTTTATTTGTTTATTTGTTTATTAGTTCTTTAGTTTATTAGCTTATTAGTTAGTTTTTTACTAGAATTATCTCATTGTTGCGCTTTTTTAAGAAAAAATAGTAAGAAAGCTAAGTAAAAACTTCGAAATTGAAAGTGAAATCAGTATTTTCTTGACCTTACCTTTGCAAACTTGTTCCCAGTCAATAGAACATTTCTTGCAGCGATATCTCGATGAATTATATTCAGGTCATCAAGATATATCAAAGCATCGCTAATCTGCCAAGCAATATGTGCCAAATCGTGCACTTCCAAAAGCTCTCCTTTTCCCAGATTCATTTGAATCAACTCACTGAGCAAATCGCCTTTATCACATAGTTCTAAATTCGATTTTGATTTATTACTGATTTATTTCTCACCCATGATAATCAAAGGAAAAGCGCTTCTTGAATAGCATCCAAGTAAAGTAAGGAGATGCGGATGAAAGCCGAGTTGTTTCATAAAAGTGATCTCACGAAGAAACTCTTCTCTTGAATTTCAAATTTTATTTCAAAATTGAAACGATCTTCAAAATACTCACCTATCCGCAAAGTTGGCGTACAGAGGAGGCATTTTAACAGCCACTTGGTTTTTCTCGTTTGAGAACATTTTCAAAAGCTAAAATGGCAGTTTTTGCTTTATTTTGGGACATTTCATACTCGTCCCGCCCCTTTGCCCTTTGGCAATTCAACTTTGAGCTCAAATTTCTTGGTGTTGGGTTGTCCAATTTAAATAGTTTTTGTATCAATCGACAGAAAAAGACTTGGTGCATCTAATGATACCAAGCATATTTAAATTGAACAACTCAAAACCAAGATATTTGATCTCAAAGTTAGATTGCCGATGGCAAAAGAGCGCATCAAATGTTCGATAACCTTATTATTAGGTTCTGGTGATGTTTTTAAGATTTAAATTTTAAAATACACTAACCGGACTAAGCTTCGATAGCTTTAACAGCCGGTGGATAGCCTTTCAGAGTGGCTTCATAGACTACCGCATAAGCTCCAGCGCCTAGCTTCTTCTCGCTGATCTCGAGTGAATCTCTTTGAATCTCCCAAGAATCGTAAACGAACGGTGTCCTTAAATGAATCAATTGACATTTCAAACAAAAACAAACTCATCCATCGAGTGTGAGAGCTCTTCGATATGATTTTTCTTTGTTGAAATGGTGTAATCGACCATTGATCTCTTTTTCCTTTTTCCCTCTATGCTTGCAACAACAACAAACTCGATCGGTTATTGGAGCCCTGAATTTGAAATTTTCTTCAACTTTTAAACATTCCAAGCTACCACGGTCTCCACTCTCTGTAAAAGAGTCGTCGCACGGTGAAAAAGACGGACAATGCAGCGATGAGCCAAATAAAAACGATCAACCCAATGTAGATGCCTTTGTAATGATAATCTAAATGCTATTTTGTTTAATTTTTACCGTTTACTAAATGACAACTTACCATCTGGAAGAACCGTAGTCGAAAGAATCTCGAAAAACCCAATAGTGATATCAGGAGCCATGGAAACATTTGGATTCATGAAACACATCCCCAACGAGTAGAGGGTTTCCTTTGAGAAATTCCACGCATCGTCCATATAGGTCTAAATTAATGTAATTTACTTTTATTGAAATCAAAAGACATTCTCAAAGTCAAAGCAAAATCACTGTATAAAGTTATGACGAAATGTTCTTTGTGCGCGCGCACAATCGCTCGCCATCTGAAAAACCCCTTCGGCATAAGGTGCTTCCCTTTTGGAATGGATAAAGGAAAAGGAGCGTGAAAGGATTGAGCTTGCGATTGATTGCGCCGTTTTAGAAGTCGCCATACCCAAACCAACCCGCAAGGCGGCCGCTTGGTAAAATTTCCATGGAATTCCCCTCTTGAATACAAATTTGGGGTAGAGAACGACCCTCAGAGGGAAAAAATGTTTTTCGAGATATTTTCATGTTAGATTTGAATTTCTGTCGCAAATTTTAAATGTTAATTTTCGTCGCATTCCAATTGATGTCGCCGCCATTTGGAGATGGTCGATGGGAGCGCCGCGTCGTCGTTCCTCTTTCATTTTCAAATCATTTTTTGTCAGATTAATTGAAAGTATTGTTTTATGCGATAAATTTTATGTTGAAATGAGAAAGCAATCTATTTCCATTTGGGAGCCGAGTGGAGAATGCGAAACTTTTCGTAGCTGGACCATAATGAAGGTCAAATGTAAAATGGTTTGGGGAGTTGAATGGAAACAAGGAAAGCAAGGCTCATCTTCTGGACCGTTACAAAACTTAATGCAAACCGGGCGGCCGTTGTAAATTTTAAAGTCGAATAACTCGGTGAGGAATGACGTTTTTTTGCAAACAGACTGTTTTACAAACAGATTCGGAATCAGCGAATTTTTTTTGGCCCTAAAATCGGAGTTTTCAACCCCCTAGCTCAATTCCGCGAATAAAAGCCTCGGACAGACAGACGGACAGACAGACGAACAGACAGACGGACAGACGCACAGACGGACAGACAGATGAACAGACGGACAGACGAACGGCGTTATATATATATATTAGAGATTCCTGGACAATTTTTGCTTTAAATTTGGCTATATTTTGGCGAAAAATTTTACATCCTGTTAAATTCTACATCTTACTTAAACAACAGCTAAATTTTTGTCCCCCTATGGCTCCTTAAAATCTTTAACAAGATATGGAAATTCAAGTAGAAATTCAGCTAACATGCCCACCGTATTAAATGACCCGTTGCTCCCATATTGTACTTCGGGCATTTTGAAGTCACATTTCGCTCTCACCATACCTTCATTCTGATAAGCTTTTAAAACATTAAACGCTAAATTCTCTACCGTAATCCACAACAGTTGATAGGGTACATCAGTGAAAGTGGGCATCAAGTTAATGAAATCAGCCAACCCGCCGTACAGCTGTGGATTGGCGGCTATTCGCTCGCACGGGACATTCGTCAGTAAATAGACAGCTTCACCATCTGAAATTTAGTAATCATATATATTATTCTCTGAATATTCTCTTGGAGCATTCTCCAAAGTTTCACCCGTTGTCACATTGTGCTGCTTCACCATCTCGCGTGCCAATTCGAGTTGAGCCGATAAATTTGAACTGAAACGAGTCTTCTACTGGCTTAGAGCTAATAGCGTTTAGAAATAAAACAGAAATTCTTGAGAATAGAAAAAACAGACCTTCTTTGCAATCGGCTTCTCTCGTAGAACTCGTAATACTCCATTGTTGAGTTCAGCACATCGCGCGCTCGAATGCCTCCGTCCGGTGTCAATTCGACTATGTAACTGAAAGAATCTTAATACTTTCGTATTAAGATCCTTTCAGTAATCTTCCCCTATCACTTCAAAAGCTGCTAATTTGCATCCTCGTAATCTCCGCGCCACTACTTGGTCAATAGAAATCTACTAATACTAAGATTTCACAGCGCTGTCCATCTAGCTGTGCATGTTCACCTCAAAAATCTAAAAGTACTAGCTTTATAAGATGGAGTCAGAAGATGTGGACAATGTAAATTAGCAGACGAACGGGGGAAAGATACGAAAGTTTAAGAATCTCAAACTTAACGTTAATCCCAGAATTAAGATCAAACTTTTAGCTTTCCTACCTGAGGAAAGTATCAGAATACAAAAGCATACGAACGGGGGAAAGGTACGAAAGTTTAAGAATCTCAAACTTAACGTTAATCCCAGGTTTAAGATCAAAATTTTAGCTTTCCTACCTGAGGAAAGTGTTCACTCACTTTACACTCCCTTTCCTAGCCATTTCATCTTTGCATAGATTCAAGATATTCTCCGCGAATATCACCATTCCTTTATATTCTTGATCGTAAGCAGTACTCGGATTCAGAATGAAAAATAAGTACAAGATCCAAGTTTGACACGAATCGAAATCCCGACGTGAGTTCACTGAAAATGAAATTTTTGATTTATTATTAAACGAACAGCAATCGAAAATCGAAAACTAGCAAAAAGCTGGGTGATTAAACCGGGCTAAAACTCATTGCCATTAAGATGGCTAAAACTCATTGCCATTAAGATGGCTAAAACTCATTGCCATGTATTTTTTCTTAAAATTTCAAACACACCATTCATACATCGTTCCGATAAACCAACTTTACAAGTCAAAAGAATCAATAACAAGAAATATTTGCAAGACATTCCTTTGAGATGCGCAATTTTTAAATCACTTCCGTCAATTTCTACAGCTGAATGTGAAAAAAAATCGCGAACTTGAGCCGAAATGATAAGTGAATCCGCTTAGTGACAATGTGAGGTTTGCAATAAAACAAAGAGAAACAAGAAATCATAATAAACCAATGATTAGCATAGAAAATTAAGGAGAAACTATCGGTATGCTGATTTCTTTTGCAAAAAAAGCTTAGTGTGCTGTTATTTGTGTACTACAAAATGCTCACAATTGTCATTTTTGTCAGCTCAATGTCAGATCACAAAGCTACAAAGAATTAGCCAAAATCTGCAAAGTTTCTGCAAATTTTGGTTTCTGCAAAAAGAATTATAAGCTTTTCGAGCTTCGTTTTCCGTTCAATCTCTTCAAAAAGTCTTGTAAGAATAGTGAACTTTTGATCTTGTAGAAATCATTGATTTTTGATAATTTTGAAATTTACATAGAGTAAATAACAAATAGAATTTTTGAAAAACATTATTCAATTAGTAATCTGAAGATTCAATTCGAAAAACCTTTATTTTTCGATTCACATCGGATCGGTTCTAGTGTTGTTTTTTTGCAATTTTCTTTTGTACTCCTTTACTTTGTTTCTAATTTGGTTTAATAAACGATTAATAACGATTTCTGAAGATTCAATTCGAAAAACCTTTATTTTTCGATTCAAATCGGTTCGACATCGGTTCTAGAGTTGTTTTTTTGCAATTTTCTTTTGTACTCCTTTACTTTGTTTCTAATTTGGTTTAATAAACGATTAATAAAGTACACGATAAACTGATAAAACTCCCAAATTATATTGAGCTATAATCTGCAAAGATCCTTCAAAGTTTCGAGTTCATTTCGAGCCTGTCTCCACCTCAGCAGTTGTTCCAATGACATAAGCGCTTTTCCGGATTCTGCCTCATCCCTAATGAACAGAAAAAAAAAGTAATGGGGTCATTCTCGAGTTGAAATTTGATCCCTTTTCCACCCCGATTTCACTCACGAGTCTGTTGATATTTCATTTGTAATCAAAAGTTAAAACTTCTCGAAACTTTCGATATTATTATCGATCCGATGCAGCCAAGTCGACTCATTTTCCTTTCCGCGCTGGCGGTAATCGGTAAGTTTTCTTGAAGCCTGAACAAATCATAGTCAAAAAATTGAATTTAAATTTATCCCTGTACTAATAATACTATATTATATGATTCTAAGTAATCTAATAACTTGAATACTCTTTTTTCACCTCAAAGAGACTCATTAGACTTCTTGAGTTAAAGTTGACAATGAATTTGAAAAGAATCAAGTGAAAAAGAATTCCGGGAGCGATCAAGTTGGTTCTTTCGACCGAATCGGGTCGGCGAATCGTTGCAAAGGTCTTTTCCCCTTTTCAAAAAGCAAAAAAAAGACTAAAAAGAGGCAACAAACAGTTAATAGCTTCGATAAGGATCCCACACTTCAGAAAATCATCCTTTCTAGACCACTTTTTTTCCCTGATTTCTTTTTTACATTTAACGATGTGCCATATGCTTTGCATTTTGGTGTCAAAAAATTTTGTTATCCTGTTCGTTTTCGCCTCGTAAACCGGTAATTGTTGGGTTCATTTCACACCCATTAACTCGTTTTCTTGGATTTCTTTTTACATCACATAAAATTTTAGTGCTTTTAAATGAGAAAACTCTTTCAATTATGCTTTTGATCTCTAGAAAAGAATGAGATTTTTGAAGATATAGATTTCATTTTTGATTAGAGTTAAGTGAATCTTTGAAGAAACATCTTTTATACATTGCAATACATAGAAAATATTTTGTTTAAAGCTTTTCAATTTAGAAAGAGAGCTTTTGGAAAAAAAACTTGATCTTTACGAATGTTTGAGGCTTTTCGAATCTAAGATTTCTAATAAAGATTCAAATAAAAATCGAGTATAAGATTCAAATTCACCTACTAGTTTTTGCTAAGCTATTCGGAACTTGGCCTCACTTATTGTTGGCCAACCGCCAACCCTTGCTATTGCATTAGTTAGCTTCAAATTGAGCTCACATTTTCTCTAAAAAACCCCACTAAATCCCCCCATTTTTTCAAAAGAAAACTTCGTTTGCCAATTGTGCTTTTCATTGTGTGCTTTATGTACTTTATGTACTTTATGTACTTTATGTACTTTTTGTACTTTCATTATGTACTTTCTGACGATGCTTCCCTGTTCGAACCCTTCTATGAACCCACTTAAGCATTCGAATCCATCTGTGCCCACAAATCCCTTTCCCATCGCATCATCAAGTTGCTCTCTTTTTCTCACTCTTTCCCCTTTTTTCCCTTATTCACATTTCTCTCATTTTTGGATGGAGAAAGGCGAAAAGGGATCAATAATAACCAATAACATCACTTCGTTTCCTTTTTTGGCTAATAATTTTCGAGAAACTTTCTTTCTTAGATCAAAAACAAAAAATGCTATGATTTTCAATCAAAGATTTTTTTTCTACGTTTTCCTTGAGCAGACAAAATAAAGGAAATTGCTTTGAAAAACGGTTTTTTATACATAATTTTTCAATATTTTCTTTTGAAGATTCATAAAAAAATAAGTCACTTTCACAAATTTTACGAAATTCACATTTTTTGAAGAATTGCAATGGCAAAAATTCTCCCTGGTGACAAGATTTAAAAAGAATTTTTAGTTTTTCAAAACGTTAAAAATCAGACAAGAATTTGGGGGATTTTTAAGGCTCAAATTTAAACCCCTATTCTTCTTTTTAAAATCTAAATACCAATTTCTTACAACATTTATTTCAGCAATGACTCGCCGGGTCGACCCGGACAGTCAAGAGGAGTTCTGGGAAACGATCAAAGACAACAAAACCGTTATCGCTGTCACGTTGAATGAGGAGAAGTGAGTGGGGAAAATCGTTTTCATTTTTTTCGAAATCTTATTAGCCATTTAGGTAACTTGTTTGTTTTGTGACTAGGAAAAGAGTAATACCGTATTCTCTCTAATAGTAGTGCGCACTACTATTTTTTGAACCCCCTCCTGGACCGCAATACTATTAGAGGGTGCACTACTATTAAAGAGTTTTATCATTTACCAAAGTAAGACAGATATAAACTTTATTCCAAAAATTCTTGCAATTCTTTCACGTACTCCTTTGGATCCTTTTGACATACAGTTGTGGGCCGGCGAGTTGACAATTTGTGTCTTGACAAACAACAAAAAGATGTTTTTGCACTTTGCACAACAATTTTAGATTTTTTGCTAACTTTTTCATGTGAAGAATAGTTAATAAATGAATAAAAAAAGCCTCACTTTTGCTTGCTTGAATAGCTTTAGAATGTCACATAAACATAAAGTCACAAAGGTTTAGATGAAAAAGAAGCAAACAGAAATTCAAATTTTCGGGGGTGCACTACTATTTTTTGAACCCCCTCCTGGACCGCAATACTATTAAAGAGTGCACTACTATTAAAAAGTGCACCTCTATTAGAGAGAATACGGTAAATGGGGAAAGTTCATTTATATTAAATATTAAAAACACTATAATTATCTTGAAGCTTTGCAGCTGAATTTTTGATATGTTATTCTCCAGAGTCGATTCTACCTACCCACCAATTTGGGGGCAATCGGCGTCCATAAGTCCAGTCGACGCTCGATAGTAAATCACGCTCAATCACTTTTGAAAGCTCCCGATAAAACGCTTAAGAAAATACAAAGAAAAACAAAAAAAAAACGAAAAGATAGCAATAATTTTTTCAAAGTTCAGCGCTGTGAACAGTCCCGATGAAACAGGCAGATGGCTGAAGTTTGTTGTGATCTCCGATACGCATGATCAACTGGGAGAGATGATGGTAAAGTTGTATCAATTAGATTTTCATTTACAAGTAAATCTATGACATTTTTAACAATCTCTTCTAACAATCAGATCTTTTAAAGCCGTTTTGATTCAGGAGAAAATCTCGATCCCCGATGGAGACGTTTTGATTCACTGTGGAGACATGACGAATCGAGGAGAAAAAGAGAAATTGCAAGCGCTTAACGAGCAATTTGGTAAACTTTAGAACTCAAAAACTTACCGTAAATACCGTAATAGTACCCCACCCCCATAATGACGGTGCGTAGAGTTGCGTAGTCTAGCTTTGAACGCGTTTTTCTCGACACTGGTTTATGCTACAATGCGCGCTTTGGTATCAAAAAATAGCTGAGATTCAGGGCTATTTTTTGATACCAAAGATGCATTTTTTGAAAGCACGGACGCTTTGAAAAAATGAAATACTAAAAAACTTTTGCGACTACGCGACTGTACGAGGGCGGTGGGGTACTATTACAGTATTTACGGTATCTTTCTCGAGTAAAAATGAGAATCTTTTCAACTTCAATACTTTAGGCCAATTACCCCATAAACACAAAGTGGTCGTCGCTGGAAATCACGATCTCGGCTTTGACGATACTGAGGATTGGAGTAAACGGTAGATTCTTGCAGGAATCATTAAATTACTACTTTTAGACACTACAAATATCCAAATGATGGAACGAGAGAAGGGTACAAATTGCTGACGAATGTCACCTGGTTACATGATAAAGCGCATGAGGTGAGACACTTGACACAATCATATCAATCATATAAATCGTATCAATGATTAGAAAGGTGATTGTATGAAAAGAAAAGAACTATTTACTGGATTATGATTTAAATTAGTGCTTTTCTTAGATTGAAGGCATCAAAATCTACGGTAGTTCTTGGCATCCGTTGCGGGGATATCCATTCTACGTGGATCGGGGTGAGAAAATGGCGGCCAAATGGATGAAAATGCCGGATGAAGTCGATATTCTAATCACACATGCGCCACCATTGGGTTTGTGACTTTATTTAGATCAGAGTCTATGCCCATCACCAGCATCTACACTTTTGACCACCCACAAGTGTCTCCATTGTCAGTACGTTTTTTTGTGTTTTTCTCACCGCTCACTTGACTGATTTGGCTACAGTTGGTTTTATTCGATAGCTTTGATTAATATCTATCAAATGAAACCAAGTCTAGCCAAATCGGTCAAGTGAGCGACGAGAAAAACACAAAAAAACGTAGTGGGGACACTTGGGGGCAGTACTTCGTCGGTACTTCGGTACTTCAAAAGTATAACTCCATCTAACATCAGGCTTCTGATCAAGGTAACAATTTAGGCTACTTGGACACATTTGGTACGGAACGATGGGGTGATTATGATCTATTACAAGCGATTGAGAAGCGGAATCCAAAGTGAGTTGGATGAAAAAAAAAGAATTTGAATATAGGGGTAATATCTTTTCATTCTAAGCAGATGAGTTGCTCTTTTGAATCGATTTAAACAGAAAATTATATTGGGATTCGATTCGAATTAATTAAAATGCTAATATCGTTGAGATTTTGTTGTCCCTTCTAAAGAAATTCCTTTTCAGTTCACGATAGAATTAAAGTTGTTTCTTGAAAACCATTTCAAAACAGAAACAAAAGTAAAACAAGTAAAGTAAAGCTAATAACAAAAAGAAAAGCCAAAAAGGTAAAGCCAACAGAAAAGCAAAATAGAAAACAAAAAAAAACAATAACAAAAGTTTCAAGAGAGAGTTTTCGTGATTTGAAACTCGATTCTACAATTCTAAAATTCTACAATTCTACAATTCTACAAGCGGATTAACTTTTGTTCGAAAAAACAAAACAAAGTCCACTTGTAGAATTGTAGAATTGTAGAATTTTAGAATTGTAGAATCGAGTTTCAAAATCACGAAAACTCTCCCCAAAATTTGCGGCTTTCAAATTCAGATTCCACGTTTTCGGCCACGTGCACGAGAGATACGGATCAGCGACGAATAACCGAACGACTTTCATCAACGCGGCCGCTTGTCTCAAATCGAACACCCTCTCCAATAAACCCATCGTTTTCTATATGAAAGTCCCAAACAGTTAAAAAAAGTTTCCCTTTCGGTACCGTTTATAACGAATTTTGTACTTTGTAGTTGTGTTCTTTTGTGAATCGCTTATTTTTTTGTGTGTTCATCACTTTTCCCTCTCTCTCTCTCCATTCTCTCTCCTCCCATTTCCACTCCTTTTTTTTCTTTTCAAATTTTCTTAACTTTGTCAAACCGGGTATTTCTTTCTTCTTTGAATTCTTTGAAATGTCTTTTTACCAGAAATTTCTATGATTTTCAAATTGATTTGGAGAAAAAATTTATTTTAAAGATTTGCAAAGCACTTTAAAGAACTGTCAAAGTTTAAAGCTATCAAAAATTTACTTAAAAATCAAAGCTATCGGGAGTGGGACAAATGCGACCTTTTTTTGCGCACCCGGACATTTGCGCACCTTTTTTTCCGCACCTTGCCCATTAGCGCGCCTTTTTTCACGTTTTAAAAAAGCTTTAAAAAGCTAATATTAACCAATTTCTATTCCAAAAGTTGTTTTTCTAGGTAATTTCAGGGCGTAGAATCGAAATTTTGACATAACAGAGCGTGTGGAAACAAATGGACGGAGTTATACAAAGAGAAAAATCGACAATTTTCTGTAATTTGATCTAGCCGTTTTGTTTTTCAAATTGGTTCCACACGCTCTGTTATGTCAAAATTTGAATTCGACACCCTCAAATTAGCTAGAAAAACAACTTTTGGAATAGAAATTGGTTAATATTAGCTTTTTAAAGCTTTTTTAAAACGTGAAAAAAGGCGCGCTAATGGGCAAGGTGCGGAAAAAAAGGTGCGCAAATGTCCGGGTGCGCAAAAAAAGGTCGCATTTGTCCCACTCCCAAGCTATCAACTTTAAGGTTTTAAGAATTCAAGAATTAAGGTCTCAACCTGTAAAATGTAGAAATAAGTTCTTTCAGAAAGAAAAATGGCTCAAAAATGGTCGAGAGCTCCCAAAGGAAAAGTTACGATTCCGGTGCAATTGAACTATGAAAAGTTAGTGAAACTTGAAAAAATAGCTGTTGTATTGCTTGATCAGGATCAGATCTTTACCAAATACAGTTTCAATAAGAGCACAGTTCCACGCGTAATTTACCCGTGTCAGTATTATAAATTAACCAGATATCGTTCAGCCTTACAATCATCAACCAGCCTTTCTGCAAAATTGACCAGATCCTCCAGAAATAAAGTAAAGAAATGAATGGAAAAGAATTTGAAAGCGATGAGGACCTTCTACTTATCGGATAGACGCTCTACCACTGAGCTATTCACACCTTTTTCCCCAAGAAGAAATAGGAAAGACAAGGAAGGAATTGTCTGCTTTTCAGTGCTGTGAACACGATTGAGGAAGATGGGGAACATTTGAAATTCGTTGTCATCTCTGATACCCATTGCAAAATGGAAGAGATTATGGTTGGGATACAAAAAAAGGCTTTTAAATTTCACGAGTTTAGGCTAGAATCCCAGATGGAGACGTTCTTATTCATTGCGGAGATTTCACGAATTCTGGTGGAGAGGCGCCAGTGAAAGAGTTCAATGAACAACTGAAACGATTGCCTCATCGGTGGAAAATCGTGATCGCGGGGAATCATGAGCGAGGATTTGATCCAAGGGACAAGTACAGGTAGTTAGTGTTATTTTGATATCCTTAGAAAATATATAAACCAGCTTGTACATAAATTTCTAGACCCGAGCTCATCGAGCTGCTCACCGAGGCCACGTACCTCTTTGATTCAAGTATTCAGGTTTGTAAAGTATAAAAAAGTGGATTTTCTTACAACACACAATATAAGTATAACTTTTATGGTCATATTTTTAGATCAATGGGCTCAAAATCTACGGCAGTCCATGGATCCCAATACCAGAATACGCATTCTACCTCTCACCCGACGAGAGGAAACCGAAATGGGCACAGATTCCCGCAGATGTCGATATTTTGATCACCCATGGACCTCCTTTAGGTAAATTTATAGCTGACTGATAAATAGCCAAGGATATTTTAGGATATCTTGATGCACGTGCGAAAGACCAACACTACGGTGATGAACAGCTGCTGGAAGCTGTTGAACAGCGAGACCCAAAGTCAGCCTAATTAAAGACCTTTCAATATTTAATTAAAAATTGCTTACAATTTCAGTTCCAATATTAAGATAGTAGTTAAAGTAGGCTCAAAATTGTCTTTTAGATTTCACGTCTTTGGCCACATTCACGAATGCTATGGGGCAATGACAAATGGTCGGACAATTTTTGTGAACGCAGCTCAATGCGATCGATCAATGCAAACTGGTCGATTACCTATCGTTTTCTACATAAGAATACCAGAATCGTGAAAATTTGTTCCTTGTTTTTCTCGTGAATCTTTTACATCAATATGATGATCCGGAGCGGGAGCTGGAGAATGAACTTCATTAATATCATTGATAGAAAATAGTGTTTTACAATAAACTATTCAAGTTCGCATTGATTATTGACCACAAAGCGAGATTTTTTCACTTATATAATCTCTTACAATATGTTTTTATTCTTATTCTTATCCTTATGCTTATCCCTATTCTTATACTTATTCTTATACTTATTCTTATACTTATTCTTATACTTATTCTTATACTTATACTTATTCTTATCCTTATTCTTATCCTTATTCTTATCCTTATTCTTATCCTTATTCTTATCCTTATTCTTATCCTTATTCTTATCCTTATTCTTATCCTTATACTTATTCTTATTCTTATTCTTGTTCTTATGCTTATTCTTATTCTTATACTTATACTTATTCTTATTCTTGTTCTTATACTTATTCTTATTCTTATACTTATACTTATACTTATACTTATACTTATTCTGCTATCTACTCTGTTAGAATGCGCTCTAGACACGTGTTATAATAGACATCTATTTTAGAAAACTTTCGTAATCATTTTGACACTTTCGTAATCATTTTATTTTGACGATCCCGACTCTCATAAGTTCCTAGTGTTTTGTCAAGGTTGCGCATTCAAAAACCTTTTCCTAAAAACTCTTTACCTTATTTCTCACAATCGAATCTTTGAAAAACAAAACACAATTTGTTGTTTGATTACTTATCTTTTCCGAGATCATCAAAATCTTAGATTAAAAGAAAAGTCGATTGCAGTGCAATATTTCAATTACATCACTTTCTCTCCTTTTCCCAGAGAGATTTCTCAAAGCACTTGCGCAAGAATTTTTAAAGAATGAACTCATCTTTAAATATCTATTTAAAGAAATTTAGTTCTGTCAATGCTATTGAAAGACAATTTTTCTATTGAAATTTTTCAAATAAATGGGCAACCGATGGAGTCGAAAAGCTGATCATGTGGAGTTGAATTTCGAAAAGTTCGTTTGATTTTGTTTTGATTAATTTTAAAAATACGATAAAAACTTAACTTAATATAGTATATTTTTAAGAAAAAAAGCCTTTTCTTGATAAATTTAAGCTTTAAGAATAACATTTGGATAATTCTTTAAGTTAATTTTTAACAGTATTTGATGATTGAATTTTTATTCTCTGTACAATCCCTTTTTTTTCTCCTCATAACAGACTACTAACCGAGCAAAGACTGGAGAAAGAAAGAAAAGAAACGAAAATGAAAGGATTGATCACTAACGAGCTTCAACTAAACGCGGAAAAGTTTGAAATTCTCATTTTTTTGTTTTCACAAATCATTTTTTCCAGTGCTGTCAATCGACCCGATGAAACGGGGAAATGGTTGAAATTTGTGGTAATCTCCGATACGCACTGTCAAATGGATCAGTTGATGGTTGGGGCTTAGACAATTGACAAGTGTTGGCCACGAACTGCAGCTTTAAAAGGCTAACTATTGGATTGGTGAATTGAAAACTGCCGGCTATTGTCATATGTCACAGTTTGAGCACTTTCTTCAAAAGAAACCCATTTTGGTGTCAATGGAAAAGTTGTAGAGAATCAAAAATCAAGCTTATATCCAAATTTTCAGAACGATTCAAAAACTGGTTTTCAAGAAATGCCAAATTTACGAACTTTCACAAAACTTGCATTTTAAGCGAAACTACTAAGTGTATCTTTTTGGAAATTTGGCTATAAGCCTAATTTTTGATTCTCTACAACTTATCTATGGACACCAAAATGGGTTTCTTTTGAAGAAGGTGCTCAAGTGGGACATCTCCAGTCTTCCATTTTTGAGTCTCACACTTGTCTGACGCACAAACCAAAATCCTACTACGAAAGAGGAATCCGCAAATTGCCTGTAAAATGGGCAGAAGTCGTCAATAATAATGGAAATTATTTGGAATGAATTCATGATTTTATGTTAAATAAATTTTAGTTCAAAGTCCGGCAGTTTTCAATTCACCAACCCAATAGCTTGAAAATGCAAAAAGGCTAGCTTCTTTTAGAGTTTAGAGTCTTTTGAGTTAAAGCAGCAAAATCTTATAGTAAACTCGTTATCAGTTACATTCGCGAAATTTGCGAATAACGGTAGAAACGAAAAAGTATTTTTTCGATAACATTGTTGCAAAGGATTCAAATGTAGATACCGTATTTTCTCTAATAGTAGTGCACCCAGAGCGTCGCCTAAATTGCTCGAAATCTCGAAAAGCGCTCATCAGAACCTATTGATGTGGGGCCGGAAAATGTAGCTGACGATGAGATCTAGTGGGGGATTTGAGTGTTGAGCTTTTGCGAAAACTTAGAAAGCTGTAAAATAGTCGCCAATTCGGCTCTCCGGGGTGCACTACTATTAGAGAAAATACGGTAAGTGCCATAAGTTTCAAATTCTAGGAGAAAATCCCGGACGGCGATGTGCTCGTTCATTGTGGCGATTTTACGAATTCTGGAGGCGAAGAGGCGGTCCGCGAATTCAACGAACAACTCGAGAAGTTGCCTCATCGATACAAAATCGTTGTGCCCGGGAATCATGACACCGATTTTGATACAAGAGAAAAATACAGGTATGTAGATAAATTATTTGGTCAATCAATAAGCCTATTCTTTATTTACAATTTTTTTTGCAAAAGCTAAACCATAGATCTTTCTGAGATTTTTTTTATGATCATTATCAATGAGATTTACATTATTCTACAAAGTTTTTAGCTCAATCTGATCCTTTTGTTTTCTATCACAATTTCTAAAGACTCTTTCTCAAAGTCCAGCCATCAGATCGAGTAAAAAATTTGTAAAATAATGTTATTCTCTTTGATAATTATCATATTAAAATATCAGAAAGATCTATCGTTTACAAAATTTAGAAAAAAAGGAGACTGACCTAATAAAAATCAAATTTCTAATAGCTAACGGTGTTTCAGATCATCTGCCTCATCGACTCAAACAGTTCGACTCCTCACAGAGCCCACAATTCTCCTAGATTCATCTATTAATGTAGGATTTTTTTCGTTTTTCGGAAAATGTAGCTGACGATGAGATCTAGTGGGGGATTTGAGTGTTGAGCTTCTGCAAAAGCTTGGAAACCGTAAAATAGTCGCCAATTCGGCTCTCCGGGGTGCACTACTATTAGAGAAAATACAGTAAGTGCCATAAGTGACTGTTCTTATTTATGACTGTGTTTTTTGTCATTAATCGTAACTTTACAATCATTTCTAGATTGAGGGAATCAAAATCTACGGCAGTCCGTGGGTTCCCCTTTGTGGAGACGCAACTTTTTACGTGCCAGCTGGAGAGGAAATGCAAGAGAAATGGGCAAAGATCCCCGAGGATCTAGATATTTTGATCACACATGGACCACCATTAGGTTAGATTTACTTATTTAAAAAAAAAACATGAAAGAAAATCTCTTGCTACTTAGGCTATTTGGATCGAAGTGAACGAGGCGAGCATTGCGGCGATGCTGATCTTCTCGATGCGGTTCAGCTGAAAAATCCAAAGTTTGTTCTTGAATAACGGAACAATTTTGGCCAAATTATACAGAAATAATAGTTTTTATTGCCATTTAAGGTATCACCTATTTGGGCACATTCACGAGAGGTATGGAGCGATGACGAATGGAAAAACGACTTTCAGAAACGCCGCTCAATGTACTTTATGGGGAAAGATTTGTCGGCTACCGATTGTATTTTATATGAAAGTGATTGTTTGCTTAAAAATAACTATCAATTATCTATAGTTTTTAAATTTTGAACACTTTCCACTTTCAGGTACCCGATGGAAACGATGGCTCAACTTGGAAAAGCTATACGAAATTTGAGGAAATCGACAAGTGAAGCTGACAGAAGAATAATGAATAAAGTTGACAAGTAAAAGCAAAACTTTTGCAAAAGCTTATTTAAATTCACTATTCTAAGAGTTCCTCATAAAAAAACCTTTATTAAACTTTAAAAGTACATAAAACTTAAGCTTTTTTTGTCAATTAGACGGCTCAATTCCAGCCTTTTTCCCAAAATATTTCCTTCTTTTGTGCAATACTTTCCCCTATTTCCCCTTTTTTTTCTTCTTTTCATTCATTCCTAGCAACCAAAAACGACAAAAGAAACTCTTTCGAAAGAGAGATTACCAAAAATTGTTTTCTGAATGAAATTTTTGTTTATTTGTTTGTTTATTTTTTTTTTTTTATTAACAAATAATTACTCATTTCTCACTTTTTTTTTCAAAAATCTTATCTCGTTTTGACGGGTTTTTCACAGATTCGTGATCAAATATTGATTTTGTTTGACTCACCGAATGACTGCTTTTAGATCTTTTTGCTTTTTTTCAGATTTTGAAACCATTTCCAAAGCAATTCACAAAAGAACAACTCATTTTTTTAAAACTACATAACTTTTTGGGATCTTTTTGTTACTTGTTGATTTCTTTTGGGATCTTTTTGTTACTTTTTGGGATCTTTTTGTTACTTGCTGATTTCTTGATACCTTTTTCGCGTATTTTTTTGTGATATCTTTTTAAATTGTACTCAAACTTTCCTATTTTCGGGCTTTTTAGAAATAAAGATGAATCAAATAACTGAAGATTTCCGAAAATTGCGGCTAAGACCGACGAAAGAAAGGAAAGGGCAACAGGAGGAACTGATCGAGCTGAATTCGCAAAAGTTTGTCACTACTAACCTAGCCTCGCCTAGAAATTTGGTTCTGACCAGGGAACTGTTTTAAATTATCATCGATTTTCAAAACCGGACCTAGCTACAAAACGTGCCCTTTGAATTCTAATAGACATATATTTTTTATTTTTTCCTAGTAAATGCTAGTTTTTGAGAAAAACGCGTGCAAATTTTTGGCTAATTTCGGCAAAGGGGGCGGCAAAGGGCGCACTAAGCGGGACGGAAATAAAGCGGCGGTAGCCTAGGGGATAATGCGCTAGTCTATGAAACTGTGCCATATTTGCTCGCCGGTTCAGTTTCGCTCCCAGCCAAAGCCTTTTTTCTTTTTTTTCTATCACCTTTGGCTCAGTAGACTCATTTTTGAGTGATTGCGTTTCAATGAGTTCAGTTTAGCGCGGTGAACTCTCGAGGCACCGAGGGAAAATGGCTGAAATTCGTTGTCATCTCGGACACACATGAGAAGTTGGTGAAAATACTGGTAAACTATAAAATTTTACGGAAAAAAAACCAAGCTATTATTAGGATAAAATCCCCCGTGGCGATGTCCTCATCCATTGCGGGGATTTCACGAATTATGGCGGCTCGGCGGCGGTGAGCAAATTCAACGAGTTGCTCGGCAAATTGCCTCACCAACACAAGATTGTCATCCCTGGGAACCATGAATATGGATTTGATACAAGGGAAAGCGCTAGAGAGTTGGTGAAATTGTTTTCTTTCTCTTGGTTAGTTCAATTCCTTTAAGTAGTTTATTTTCTAAATGGTGTCCTTGGTCAAAAACTATCATAACCTGACACCTTTTAGATAATAGAAAAGAGAGTGTGCCTAACAAAGCACCTGCCCACAGTTTGTGCTTAAGAAAATGAAAATTTAGATACGTCACGAGGGTGACAACGAAAAACCCCAGAGAGTTGCTCACGAATTGCACATTATTGATGGATGAGTCAATAGAGGTGAGGCCTAGAGGAAGCAGAAATCTAAAGGATTGCTGCAAATTATCTAGGTTCTCAGCTATATCTTAGCTGTAGCTGTAGCTGGAGCTTTGCGAACCGATTTAATTCCTTTTTAAGATGAAAATCATGATGATTTTCTATGGAGAATTTCTTGATATTTGTAGAATTGTAGAATGCTTTTGAGATTTTTATTAAAGGCTTGAAAAGATCTGCTCTAAAAAAATCCTTGATACGCAAGCTTTTCAAGCTTTTTCTAGTTCATTTTCAAAATGAAATCGATTTTCTCGCTTTTTCTTGATACATTTAAGCTTTTAGAGTAACATTTGGATAATTCTTTAAGTTAACTTTAAGATTAACCGATGAAATTTGCCAGTTTCAAGAAAAAAATCATCTTCAAGAAGCTGATGAGCTCAGAAAAAGATCAAATGGTTGAAGATTTTTGTTAAAAAGACATTTGTTTTAAGCTTTTTAACGAGAAATGAGTCAAATAAATGATGTGAGAGCCTTTAAAATCTGTTCATGAAAAGCTGCAGAAATTCTCCGTAGAAAATTATCGCAATTTTCATCTTAAAAAGGAGTTAAACCGAATCGCAAAGTTACAGCGAAGATATAGCCAAAAAACTGATAGAGTTAACTCTCTCTAGAGTAGGATAGATTAAGTGCGTTGTGGTGTAGTAGTTAGCACATATGTCCGGTAAGTGAAAGGTCGCCGCTTCGAGTCCCGGCCGGGGCACAAGTTTTTGATCTGGCGTTTTTGATCCGTTAGTGGTCGTCTATAGCAATAATTTGCCGCAGAATTTGACCCTGTAAAGTAAAAGTTTCCAGATCTCGGGTATCAAACTCCTATGGCAGCTCTTGGCACATTCTGCACGGATTTCCTTTTATTGTGAACCCGGAGCAGAGATTCGGGAGAAATGGGCGAAAATCCCGAATGATGTCGATGTGTTGATCACACATGAACCGCCTAGGGGTGAGTTTCTTTGTTTAGCAATGATTCAAGACCTTTTCTTGGTGCCAGTAACAGTCATGCAAGCTCTAATACTCGTTTTCTTTTTCGTTTACCGTTCGTTTTCGTTTCGTTCACACTCTATTTCGTTTACCTTCCTTTCACATTTGAGCTTTTAGGTGGAAATTTTGATGAAAAATTTTTAAAAACACATGAAAAGGAATAGTTTTCTAACATTGGAAAGTCCTCCTTACACTAAATTCTAATTTAATTTTAGGATTTCTTGATAAGGTGACTTCGCGGACAGACCTACGGAGACGTTGAACTGCTGCACGCGGTTGAGGCGCGGAATCCAAAGTAAAAAAAAACTATAATAACAACCTAGTAAAGATGATTAATATTTTTTAAATCAAATCCCAAGTTTTTTTTTCTAGATTCCACGTCTTTGGCCATATTCACGAGTGTTATGGAGCGATGACGAATGGGAAAACCACATTCATCAACGCGGCTCAATTGGATCGATCAATGCAAACGGGTCGATTACCCATCGTTTTTTTCAGTGAGAATACCAGAATCGTGAAGATTTTAGTGTTTTGAAAATAAACATTGCTTTAATCAGCTGCACTTTTTCCCTGAATCTTACTGCGAAACGCAGAGTCTACCCGGTTTTCTTGTAAACTTTTCATTTCTAAGAAAATACATGGATCCCAATACCAGAATACGCATTCTACCTCTCACCCGACGAGAGGAAACCGAAATGGGCACAGATTCCCGCAGATGTCGATATTTTGATCACTCATGGACCTCCTTTAGGTAAATTTATAGCCGACTGATAAATAGCCAAGGATATTTTAGGATACCTTGATGCACGTGCGAAAGACCAACACTACGGTGATGATGAACAGCTGCTGGAAGCTGTTGAACAGCGAGACCCAAAGTCAGCCTAATTAAAGACCTTTCAATATTTAATTAAAAATTGCTTACGATTTCAGTTCTAATATTAAGATAGTAGTTAAAGTAGGCTGAAAATTGTCTTTTAGATTTCACGTCTTTGGCCACATTCACGAATGCTATGGGGCAATGACAAATGGTCGGACAATTTTTGTGAACGCAGCTCAATTGGATCGATCGATTGGATGCAAACGGGTCGATTACCCATCGTTTTTTTCATGAGAATACCAGAATCGTGAAGATTTGTTTTGTGTTTTGAAAGTGTTTTGAAAATAAACATTTCTTTAATCAGCTGCGCTTTTCCTGGAATCTTATCGGGAAATGCAGTGTCTACCCGATTTTTCTTAGTAACTTTTTCATTTTAAGGAAAAATACACTCAAATTTCTTCGCAATAGCAAGTTTCAATTTGATCGAATTCTTCAAAATGACTCAACATTGTGCAATCCGTTCATTTTTTTGCCAAAAAAGAGGAAATGACGTGGAGATTTTTGGATAGAAAAAGGCATTTTTCTGATCTGATTACCACTTGAAAAATTTCAAAGCAGATTTTTATTCTAAAAACTCTTTTGAGTAGCTTTCGATTTGGATTAATTTTCTTTCAAAGTTCATTTGACAAAATGAAGTAAACCTTTCCATTATCTTTATTGAATCCAAAAACTTTTTAATAATGATGTAATTTGAGTTATTTCTTTGAGAAAAGTTCAGTGCTTTTATTTGTTTCTCTTATCTAATTCTTGAGGCTTTTATTTATAACAATTAATAAATAATTTTAAGCCTAACAATGCCTTTCTACGTGGAACGAAAAGGGCGAATGCAAGAATAATCAAACAAAACTCTGGCGATCCGTTGAGCACACCACACCGTGATCCCGGGATTGAGTTGGAGGAGAAAAGTTTGTTTAAACGATTTAAAACTGAACAAAGAAAGGCCTCAGCTTGTAGCTTCCGTAGCGCAGTAGGCAGCGCGTCAGTCTCATAATCTGAAGGTCGTGAGTTCGAGCCTCACCGGGGTACAATGTTTTTTGCTTTCTGCTTTTAAAAATGTTCAAAACTAATGAAGAAAGCATTTTCAGTGCCGCAAACTCTCGACCGAAAAGCGGACGATATCTTTTAAATTCGTCGTTTTGTCGGTTACACGTTTGTAAATGGAGGAAGTATGGTGAACGCACGATTTCAAGCCTAATGATCTCCCAGATTTCAGGATCAAATCCCGGATGGAGATGTGCTTGTGCATTGTGGAGATTTCACCAATTTTGGCGAATATGACAAGATTTCCGAGTTCAACGACTAATTGGGAAGATTGCCGCATAAATACAAGATTGTGATTGCGGGAAATCAACGAGCTGGGATTCGAGGATGGCCAGGATGTGCGCTGCGAAGGTGGAGTCGAATAGATTCTTTAAGGGCTTTCGTAAGGTAACTTACTAACTGCAGCGGTGGCCGAGTAGTAGAGCGCACGTAGACGAGTCTCGCAGGTTCGAAAGTCTCTTGGTGTCTGAATCTTCTTACTTCTTCTTCCTTTTGCTTTTTGGAGAACACTATTTCAGTGTGTTTCTCCGCATGCACACGTAAACGATCGCGTTAGCTGGCAAAGGATAAATACCGATATCCCGCCAATGCCAACCAAAACTGCCGTCAATTGTAAACTCATAAACAATTACCCTCGGCGGAATTGGTTGTTGGATTGATCACATTGTTAGCGTAAGAAAAAGATGGTTTAAGCAATGGGAAAACTTGTTCTCTTACAGAATCCCCGGAATGCAAAACCCACGGTACTCCGAGAGGCTACAAACTACTCACAAATGCTACTGGGTCTTCACGATTCTTCGATTCAGGTTCCAAAAGTCACGCTATATGGATCAGCTCAATATAATGCTTAGAAAGTTTTCTTCTAATATCAAAAATTCGATTCTCTCAACCTGAATGTTTAGATTGAAATTTGAAGCTCTACTGGCAGCTCTTTGGCATCCACTACGTGGCTACAGTTTCCATGTGGAACGAGGCCTGAAACAGATGCTGGAAAAATGGAGAGCAAATCCCCAAGGATACTGATATTTTGATCACTCAGGGGTACCATTGGGTTAGTTTTGACAAAATCCCGCCAATCAATCTTTTCCTAGGTTGCAATGACGCTCGAGACCCAGAGGATCTTTGGGGGCCATTTCGGATTTACCCCAAATCGTTACAGCAAGGAAACCAAAGTAAGATTTTGCAAAGGAAAAGCTAAAGCCGAAAACAATTCCTTGCGTGATCTTGCAAGAAATACAAAATGACGTTCATCGATCCGGAACGACGTTCATCAACTCGGCAAACGCTGATAAACGTGGCCATCTGACAAGGAAACCGAGGCGAATAACATTTTCAGGTATCACCTACACGGTCATATGCACGAGGGGTGCGGAGTCTGCTCGAATGGCGAAACGACGTTTATCAATTCGGCAATCGCTGATAAACGTGGCAATCTTGCAAGGAAACCGATCATTTCTATATACCATTGCCATAAACATGTTCAAATATTATCTTCAGCTATTTTTATTTTTATTTGGTTTTGTTTTTTGTGTCTTTTTTTTTTTTTTTTTTTTTTTTTTTTTTTTTTTTTTTTTTTTTTTTTTTTTTTTTTTTTTTTTTTTTTTTTTTTTTTTTTTTTTTTTTTTTTTTTTTTTTTTTTTTTTTCTTTTTCCAGGAAATAAGTTCCCAAAGTTTTTAACGGATCAAAAGTGAGTGCTTGAGTTTATTTCCTGACGTTTAAATCTAGTTTTTAGCCTCTGTAAGTCTTGAGGGTTCAGCCCATGAGTTGGATTTGACTTTGGTGAAATTGATTTTTATCCAACTTTAACTCATCACTCATCTTGAGGGTTCAGCTCAAGGAGTTGGATTTGACCTGGTGAAATTTATTTGTATTCAACCTTAGCTCATCACAGCAATTTCAACAGCGGAAGTGACAAAAAAGAAAACTTTACAAAGACTTTTCTCGATAAGAACTTTTTTATTGCTTTTATTTGTTGGTCTAATCTTCTTCTCGGACCTTCTTCACATTTCAATCTGAAGATGCATTTCGAAACTCCACAAAGCACTTCTTCGATATAGAACTTTTCATTGTTCTATGAGTTGAATGAATCCGATTAGCCAATCTCGAAAAATTTTCTTCACAACTCTTTCTTCTTTTTTGCCAATGATAGTGATATTCTTAAACTTTTAACAATCATCTGAATTTAACTCTTTAACCCAGTTTTTGCTTCACTTTCAGTAATTTTCCAAAAGATCGATTCATTCCCCAAGCGGTCAAAGTGAATCGTCTTTGTGTGGATCGTCCTTTTGTCCTTCTGGATCGATCTAATCTTCTTCTTTGATCTTCTTTCACATTTCTCAATCTGAAGATGAAAGGAAATGATGCATTTTCTCTCTCCCAAACTCCACAAAGACTTTTTGTGATAGAACTTTTTCATTGTTCTATTTCGTGAGCTGAATGAATCCGATAATCCAATCACCATTTTTTTTTGATAACTTTCTCTTTTTGCCAAATGATAGTGATATTCTCAAACTTTAACAATGAAACTAATCGTTCATTAGCTTATTTCACCACCTCGTATTCATAAATTTTTTTTCTTTATACTTGTGAAGTGACCTTGAATAGCAATGCATAGACAGTCGAAGGTCCTTTTCCCCTTCATCCCTTTTTCAATCTTCCAAAAAGTTTTTTCATTCACACCGATTTCCTTGCTCAATCAAATTTCTTGTATCATTCTTCTTTACATTTTTTCGTTATTTTTATAGTTTCTCCATTTTCCTTCCTCTTTCTTCTAACAATGCTCAACCACAAAAATGATTGACAAGAAATTTCTCCCCTTTCTCTTGAGATCATTTAAGCTATTCATATTGGAAACCGGTTGAAAATTTGTTTTGAAAAACTTCATCTATGCCCTCTCATTCCTTCACAATGGCTGTTATCTCGTCTATTGTACTGCATAACAAACTTCACCATCACACATTGAGGAGTTGGGTTTCGTGAACAAGAACTGATCGTTTCGATGAGCTGAATGAACTTCAACTCAATTATAAGAACTAAAGCTTCCTTCCACTTGCTGATCTTGTTAACTTCAACTTTAATGTTCATCTTAGAGCCGGGTGATCACAGCAAACGACACTCTGTTTGATCTCTTCACTAGATAGGCGTTGACGATGGGAATTCGGAGTCATTTCTTGATTCATAGAAATAGAGACAAAACATGGTGGAATCTCTGGGTTTTTCAATGAAATTTCTTTGAATGAAATGAGGTCAGTAAAAATGTGAATTGTTTCATGTTACACTTGTCAATGCGGTAATACCAAAGTGAAAAATCAAACGAGCTTTGAGGTGGAAAGTTTTTTTAAACAGCAAATAGGCAGACAAATTGCTGAACTAAACTGCTGAAAAAGACACAAATTTCTTAATGAAATGAGCAAAGAATCCGGAAGTGTTTTCTCATATCGAATCGATATCTGATAATCGAAAGGGGAAAGAAAAAGCGGGGAAATGGAGAAAGTGAATGAACCGAGTGCATTCATTGATTGAAGAGAAGAGAAAAGAAAAGATCTTTGGGTGAAATGATAGGATTTACTCAAAAGGGAATTTCAACTGAATGTGATGATCAAATGGCATGAGCCACGGGTTATTCGGACGCAGAATTTAACGGTGATTCGCTTGCTTTTGCTTTCTTGGCTCTGTGGAGCACTTGGTCACCTGGGTCAAAAGCACCCTGAGCACTGTCCTGTCACAAGAGAAGGTAAAGCTCTCACATGTGATTTCCAAACATATCTGCTGCTGCGGTTGGCGCCGACTTCTGTTTAGCGGTTTAAGAAGCAGTGGCGGTTCGGCTGGCAATGGGTTTCCCAGTGCAGCGTTCTTCAGTACGAGTCCTGTGCCGCCTCGATATTATCGCCGATTGCCCTCGTATTACGGCGGGTGACATAGACCACTCTGGAGAATGTCACACCTGCTGGGACTGTACCAGCCGGCAAAGCCCAAAGACACGGTAATATAGTTTTTACAATATTGATAGGGATTCAGGCGACAATGGGGTTTTCTACTCCCAACGAATATTGGGATTAGTTATCACCATCGCCCATCGGATCACAACGGATTCACTACCGGCGGTCCAGCGGTAATGCCGCAAAGCTCGAAGATTACGGCAGTTATAACAAATATAAGCGATTTCGGAACTCTATCGAGAAAATCGTCTCTGCTCGAATGAACGCATTACCACTAGACCACCGAGTAGTGAATCCATTGTGATATTGTGATATTGTGATAACTAGTCCCAATATCGTTGCGGAGAGAGAAACCCCATTGTCGCCTAGATCTTATCAAATATTAAAAACACTATAACTACCGTAATCTTCGAGATTTGCAGCTGAATTTTGTGATATGTTATTCTCCAGAGTCGATTCTATCTACCCACCAATTTTGAGGGCAATCGACGATAAGTATCAAAACGGCGGACTCGAACTAGAGAACCTTTACCTCTTATTCTAACCTACTGCCACTTGACCACCACTGCTTCTGTAAAGTCTCTGGGAATCTGCTTATAAACGTGGGAGGGTGGTGGTTTTGGGATCTCATGCGAAACTTCTCCAGAGTCGATTCTATCTACCCACCAATTTTGGGGGCAATCGGCGTTTGTAAGTATATGTGGTTCCCTCTCAGTATCAAACTATTCAAAGATTGAAAAAGAAAAGGTTTCTGAGTCCTACGTCTAGCGATTCTTGTCGAATCACCTTTGGACTCAAGACATCAGCTGGAGATCGGCTTACGTAATCCACTAAGCACTAACAACTTGACTTTCAACTTTTAATCAAGTTGCTCATCCGAATTCATTTGTTATAGATTCTCCGCCCATTTACTAGTCAAAATCTTTTGTACTGATAACCTACCTCCTCCATCGATCAATCAAAGAACTCAATGAGTAGACATAAACATCACCATTTCTTCAATGTGTTCAGCAAATGCGGAGCACTCCACTCAAACCCCAAAAAATGGATTTGTCCTTGTCGAGTCGGCTGTTGTTCCCTTATCGTCGCATGCATCCACTCTAAGACTTTTCCCCTTTTCCTTTCTTTTCTCCACCCACTTCCACCTCCTCCATTTCCATTCCACATGTGAATCACATATGAGTTTAATTGTATATCTTTGTATCCTTTATCTACAATCAAAATTTCCCCTAAACATTTGCTGTTCAATTCTCTTCTGGCTCTTCTGCTTATCCATTCGTGTTACTCAAATTGTACACTGGCCCATTTATGGATGCAATTGAAAAATATATGATTGTATCCGGTTGTCAAAGATTTATTGATCACTAATCTCATCTAAAACCCTAGGAACAGCATTGTGAAATCTAAAAGAATCCGCAAAGATCTTTTGCTAAACCTTGAAATCTTCATGACTTGATTTGAAAGCTTAAAGCTTCTAAATTAAAGCTGTTTCTTTCTTTGTAGACTTTTTGAAACACTAACTAATTTGCTTGATTTATGGTTATGAAGTTCATTTAAGTTCATTTAAAGGTGAGTTCATTTAAAAAAATGAACTCACCAGCAACCAATTCGGCGTCAATTTGCCGTATGTACAGTGAATGGGAAGAACAAAACCACTAAAGTATAAGAATGAAAAAAAAAGAAGAGAAAAGGAATGGGGAACCGGCTTGATTGTGAGTTTGAGAAAGAATGAAGGAGACAGTACTTGACTCCTTTAAACTGACTCCTCTTTGAGTTCTCTTCTCCACATGAACCTATTTTTGGCGACTTGCTACCAATCTACTTACAAATGATTGAACTTTTATTAAATGCATCTAATGCTATCCAAAAATCAATCAAAAGATGATAGAGTTTTTGGAAAATCAACCGTTTTGATATTGTTCTGTAAAATAAAAAAGTTTCTGAACTATAAAAATATCCAGTCTGTACGCTTATTCGCAAGATCTAAAACCAAGCTTTTTCCGGGGTCAAGCCAGAAGATTTTTACTTGACTTGATTTGTCTTGCTTGCTTGCTTTGATTTGTCTTGCTTGATTTGTCTTGACATGGTCAAAACCTACACTACTGGACAATGAAATATCATATTTGAAAAACGATCGTCACTTTCGCGCTGTAACCCCCTTGTCTTTATCGTATTTCTAAATATTAATATTACCATTGTGTAGCCCTTGAAAGAGCTTTCAGAAAATGTCTAACACTAATAGTTTAAACTCAAAGACAACGGAGTTACAGACGCGCGAAAGTGACGATCGATTAAAGATTAAAAACTATTAGTGTTACACATTTTCTGAAAGCTCTTTCAAGGGCTACACAATGGTAATATTAATATTTAGAAATACAATAAAGACAAGGAGTTACAGACCGCGAAAGTGACGATCGTTTTTCAAATATGATATTTCATTGTCCGGTACTGTACCTGTTATCTCTAGGTCTATTTTCCAGGCTAAACCCAAACCAAATCAATCTCTAGCTTTAGCTTGACTTGCAATAGCGTCTAGCTTTAGATTTTTGCAGTAATCCTGATTCTGGCTTGACTTTTCTACTAGTCTGATCCATAAAAGATCACTGGAATCGCCAGAATCCAAGCCTAATGCTTCTTTGGCTGATTAGAGCCAAAGAAGAACTCATTTTTAATGAAAATTTTAATTAGTTAGAAGATAATATAAACTTTTCTAGGCTAATACTAATTCTTTCTATTGTCAGATGCGTTTTTTCTTGCTCTTCTGATGTACAATTTGTTTGTTTTGCAGAAAAAATTGATATTTGTTACGCCTACCAATTCACATATTAAAATTAGCATACAAACAAACAAATTCTCTCAGAAGATAAAAAAGAACTAAAAACTTTTTAGTCTTTTATCCATTTTAAGTCATTTTTTTTCCACCTGATCGTCAAATTCTCTGATATTTTTAAAAAATACACAGAAACATGACTTTTATTGTTTTTAAAATGAAAAACGAGCGACTTTTTATGCAAATTGTGCGCAATATGGAAATGTGAGCGTCTTTTTATGCTAATACAAAGACGCTAATGCCTAGAAAAGTTTATATTATCTTGAGTCTAATTAAAATTTTCATTAAAATGAGTTCTTCTTTTGGCTCTAATCAGCCAAAGAAGCATTAGGCTTGGATTCTGGCGATTCCAGTGATCTTTATGGATCAGGACTAGTAGAAAAGCCAAGCCAGAATCAGGATTGCTGCAAAAATCTAAAGCTAGAAGCTATTGCAAGTCAAGCTAAAGCTAGAGATAGAGGCGGGTAGCTTCAAAGATAATTGGTGGGCGTAAGAGTCAGTACCAAAAAAAAAATCCCCTTCAATTGGCCTTCAATTCCGCATCGCCCTTTGAACCCCTGGATTTACAGGAAAATATTTTCATGATCTTTTTGTGATCATTTTTCGCAAGATTATTTTTATATTCCTTTCCGATTCACAAAATCGTGAGAAAATTGGTCTATTTTGTGTGTCGCGGATAGTTTATCACATTTCCCCATCAAATCTGCCCAAAAGTTGTTCTTCAAAAATGTCTTTTCTCTAAAATGTAACTAATTTTGTGCAAAAAAAATGAGAAAAGAAAACGAAATACATTTGAAAATAAGCGTTTTTTGACTTTCGCTTTCTCCTTTTTGTCTGCCTTAAATGGCTAAGATTTGACCGAACGGGCGTGGGAAACTGCTACCAGATGCTCAATTCTTCTTTATAAATAAATTCAATTCAGACAAAAGATTTGTGTATTTTGTCTTGTATTTTTTAAAGTATGATTGAGACTTATCGTTTTGATAAGGCTTATGGGATTGGTTCAAAGGTTGATTTATCCCGTGTAGTCAACACTTTCACCTCTATTGAGAGAAAATCAGCAAGATTTAGTGCAACGTTGATTCAGTTTAGTTTCATTTGAAGTTAGGCATCAAAAATAGATTGGTTTATACATTTTTTTAAACTTTTTAAACACTTTTTAGATGTTTTCATCAAAAATCTGGATTTAGAATAAGTAGTCTTCAAATTCGTTTGAAAAAATCGTAAATCTATTTGGATTTGGATTTGGATTTGGATCATTTGGAATTTGGATTTGGATCATTTGGATTTGAATTTGGATCATTTGGATTTAGATTTGAATCATTTGGAATTTGGATTTGGATCATTTGGATTTGGATTTGGATCATTTGGATTTGAATTTGGATCATTTGGATTTGAATTTGAATCATTTGGATTTAGATTTGAATCATTTGGAATTTGGATTTGGATCATTTGGATTTGGATTTGGATCATTTGGATTTAGATTTGAATCATTTGGAATTTGGATTTGGATCATTTGGATTTGGATTTGGATCATTTGGATTTAGATTTGAATCATTTGGAATTTGGATTTGGATCATTTGGATTTGGATTTGGATCATTTGGATTTAGATTTGAATCATTTGGAATTTGGATTTGGATCATTTGGAATTTGGATCATTTGAAAAAATCGTAAAAAAAGATAAATCTATTGAATTCTTAATTTCAATATCATATTGAAAAGTAAAGATTAAAATTAGAAGAGAAAAATACTTTAGAAAACAAATCTCAGAAGACAACTGTTCGCCTTTTTATCTAAATTTCAAGAATTAGAATTTGCAACCTCTTTTCTAATAAAACCCATTGCCTATTTGAGATCGATCACGATTTTTGCTCTCAACCTCTTCAAAATACTCCACCGAAAATCGTTTCCTCGTTGAAAACGTTGTTTAGAAGATTCAAAAAGAATGCGAGTCAATGAAAAGAAAATTTTGTGCAAAAGACGCATTCTTTTCTTTTCTTTTTCTGCTCCACCCACCACATCACATCAAAATTAGGGCATAAGATCAATCGGGACGCTCTTCTTTTCTTTCATTTCATTTCTTTCTTTCATTTCTTTCTTTTCATTTCTTTCTTTTCATTTCTTTCTTTTCATTTCTTTCTTTTCATTTCTTTTTTTTTCATTTCTTTTCTCTTCTCTTCCTTTTCTTTCTCTTATCATCCGGGGATTCACCTAGAAATTGATTTTTTTGAGGGAGAACAAATTTTTCTGAGCTTGATCGAATCAATTTCAAAGTCCAAACCGTTTTAAAACATTCAACCCCAACTTGTAGCTTTTTACTTTTTGCATTTTTTGTTTATCAATTCTTCTTCCAGGTTATTCATTTGAATCTAGCAGAAAATGATTTTCAATTAGTTTATTTGTGTTATATCTGAATGTTTGAATGTCGTAATGGTATAGGATTGCTATTTCAGCTATAACTGTTAGCAATTTATCTAACAAAATAGAAATCAATATCATAGAGAAAGAAGAACAGACAGAAACAATTGAATTGACGACTACGCGTCGCTTCAGTTGACGTGTACAAAAGGCAGAGCATTAGTGCAAAATAGAAAACATTTTGTGGAATCTCTTCTCATCAATCTATCAATTGATTCTTATAAGGATGTAGCTGAATTTTCCTAGCTAGACCAGACTTTGCTGCTGGCCTGGCTTGACCTTAGACTAATGCCACCTTGACCAGCCAGTAGCCAGCAAAATTGGCTTTCTCACCAATCTATCAATTGATTCTTATAGGAATGTAGCTGAATTTTTCTAGCTAGACCAGTCTTTGACCAGCCAGTAGCCAGCAAAATTGGAAAATTTCCGTTCAAAAATCGTTTTAGATTTGTCTTAAAGGTCTAAAGATCTAAAGCTCTAAAGGTCTTAAAACTTAAACCTAAATATTCATTTTAAATATTCACAAAGATAAATAAATATATAGTGATCGATTTAGTCACAATCTTCTCTGCCTCCTTCACCTCATTCATCTCTCTTTTTTCCTTTTCCTGCACCCAGTCTCCTCCAGATTTTATCTTCTCCTCCCCCCACCCTTCCATCTCCTCTCTCATTGTATTTTGTGGAGAAAACAGAACCGTTTTTGCTGTTTTTGCCTTGCTCTTACCACTCAAAAAATCTTTTCACCTTTTTTCAATCCTTAAAGTGATCTTTGTTGTTTCGAAAATTCCTTTTCTTTCAAGAACTCTTTTCTCTTTTTTTTACTCATCGAATTTCAGAGCCAATCAACCAAAAAAAATCCACCGATTGATCCCTCTCATCTGGGTGAAATTCCCAATTTCTTTGTCGTGACCAGATCAAAATGAATATGGACAATTATATTCTCGTGGATCCACTAACGGCAAAACCGATCGAATGTTGGAAAAAATATTTGCGACAAGGCAGAATATCGGAGCCGGCAAAGACGCTCAGGTGAGCTAGAGAAGTGAAAAGTGATAAAAATTTGACATAAAACTACTATGTATGATGAAGATTTTACCTGTATCAACCTTTAGACTTGTAAATTTATTAAATTATCTAATAGTGACGTCACATTTTACTTGCATTTCCATTTGCAAGTATCTTTCAAATTTCATGACCTTCCTCACTCCCTCATTTCCCGAGATCATTTCAAGAGCAATAGATACTCATCTACTCGAGTTTTCTGAGGATTTCTGGAACCGAAAACATCAGACAAATTCATTTCATTCATTTGAAAAAATTGAGTTCATTGGGCAACAAATTATATACATATACATCACACATGATACATCACACATACAAGCTTGTACAAAGCATCAAGGCTCTTGAACAACTCTACTCTTGAACAACTCTACTCTTGATTCAAGAGTAGGGTTGTTCCAGGCCTTGGCTTGACTTTGCTGCGGGTCTAGCCTGCAAAATAGCTCGCCAGAAGCCAGGCATGTCCCTGGTCTGTCTAGCTTGACTTACAATTAGTCCGGAAAACTGCCCTGACTTACTGTTGGGTTCTGCTCCTGACCAGTCCTGGTCTAGCTCTTTGCCTAGTCCTGGCCTGGCTCTAGAGCCCGTTTGAAACATTCTGGTCAAGAGTCTACAGGCTAAATTCAAGGCTGATTTTTCACAATTATGAGACTAATCAAAGTGCTGATGCTTGCTAAAAAACGACCTAAACCTTTCCCAAGAAAAGGCAAAGTCTTTCAATCAGTTTTTCAATCAGTTTGTATCAGTTCTTCAAAAAAATCTCTCTTTCACAATTTCACAATCCACATTTTTTCATCGATTTTTGCAGAGGACAGTCCCCTTTCCCTTCCATTCATCCCATCCTCCTTTCCTATCGGCCCTCGAAATCTCTAAGAAAATTTCGAAAAGTTTCGAACTTTACGTGTCCTCGCTTTTTGCCAGCTAAAAAATGACTTGCCGAGTAGTTAAACTGTGAAAAATTGTTGAAAGGAATTTGACAAACACACCGAATCACATGATCGGTCGTATTCTGCAAAAGAAAAAGTTCAAATTGTTATTTTGTTAGTTTGTTAGTTAAGTAAAGTACAGTCAAGTTAAAGCAACGCTTTTAGATTAGACTCGCCCATCCACGAGCACAAGGTGCGCTTCGTTTGTATCTCGGACACACATGAGAAATTGGGTGAGTGAAATTGAGAAAACAAATATTTAAAAGTAAGTATTTGGCTGAGCCAAATAACCTGAAACAAACAAATACCGTATTTTCTGTAATAGTAGTGCGCACTACTATTTTTTCAAGCCTCCTCCAGACTGCACTACTATTACAGACTGCACTACTATTATAGATTGCACTACTATTACAGACTGCACTACTATTACAGAAAATACGGTAACCAAATCTTTTTGAAAGCTAAAGAATGATTTCCATATAGACGAAGTTCTTCCTTTGGTCCCTGACGGAGATGTACTAATTCATGCGGGCGATTTCACAAATTACGGCGATGTTGGCGAGGTGATCAAATTCAACGCCGAAATTGGTGAGTTTGGACAAAAATTGGACAAAAACCAAGATTTAACATTAAAAAGACAATTTTCTAGGCAAACTCCCTCACAAATACAAAGTGGTCATAGCGGGGAATCATGAGCTCGGATTCGAGGATGGAGAGGTGAGAAAAAATTGAGAATTCACGGCTAAACATTGCTTTCTTTGAACAGGAGATGAACGAAAAGCAATTAGCTGGTTTGAACATGCTCGGAATCACAAAAGCCTACGAGTTGCTATCAAATTGTATCTATTTGTGCGATCGGGAAACGAAGGTAAAATCTTGTTACATACAGTACCGGACAATGAAATATCATATTTGAAAAACGATCGTCACTTTCGCGCGTCTGTAACTCCCTTCTCTTTGAGTTTAAACGATTAGTGTTAGACATTTTCTGAAAGCTCTTTTCAAGGGCTACACAATGGTAATATTAATATTTAGAAATACGATAAAGACAAGGGAGTTACAGAGGCGCGAAAGTGACGATCGTTTTTCAAATATGATATTTCATTGTCCAGTAGTGTATGTAAACGAACTAAACTGAAGGCTTTACTCTTGAGAATCCTTGCTTACAATCCTTGAATTTCTCTGAAAACTGTGCTCCTTATTCAGCTCTTCGGCTTGAGGATCTACGGCGCCCCGTGGCACTCGATGCCCGGTTACTCGTTTTTCCGACCAAGGGGACAAAAGATCTTGCACAAATGGAATCAAATACCAAATGGCGTCGATGTTCTCATCACGCACTCGCCTCCATTGGGTAAGGAAATTCGATTCAAAATTTTATCATAATTATGACTAAAGATTCCGCTCGTGGTTTGGGAAAGGGCGCATAGTTGAGTCCGGCGCAAAGTTGGGGGCACTCCTTTTTGCTTAAAAGGTTATTTCTATTATAATTGAGCTTTTGGTAAAAAAAAAGCAAAATGTTTGACCGGAGGCGGATTCGAATCCTTGACCTCTGGTCCTTGGTCCGAGCGCGCTAAGCACTCAGCCATTTCACACCACGCAGGTGCATATTCCGGGGTGCATATTTCGGGAGTACGTATTTCACGGGGTGCACATTTTGGCCACTCCTCGAAAAAACTCACTTTTGCACCCGCTAGAGCTCCAACATTTCAACTGAGAGACTGACATTTCGAAATTATATAAGTTAGATAAGTACCATTATTTCTAGGTCATGGTGACTTCAATGCGTGGAACAAGATGGACGGAATCTTGGCCGGTGACGTCGAGCTGCTGAACACCGTTGAGCAACGTGTGAAGCCAAAGTTGGTGTTTGCCCCAAATTAGCTACCGTAAATACTGTAATCGGACCCCACCCCATAATGACGGTGCGGAGTGTTGCGTAGTCTAGCTTTGAACGAGTTTTTCTCGACACTGGTTTATGCTACAATGCGCGCTTAGGTATCAAAAAATAGCCCTGAATTTCAGCTATTTTTTGATACCAAAGACGCATTTTTTGAAAGTACGGGCGCTTTGAAAAAAATGAAATACTAAAAAACTTTTGCGACTACGCGACTGTACGAGGGCGGTGGAGTACTATTACAGTATTTACGGTACTGTAATAGTCTGTCCTGGTACTGTAATAGTGTAATGTCGAGCTGCTGAGCACCGTTGAGCAACGTGTGAAGCCAAAGTTGGTGTTTGCCCCAAATTAACTATCCTTTTATGTTTCCCGAATGACCGACAATCGCTAGTAATCACTAGACATGGGAAATTCTCAAACCCAAACCAATTCCACCTTCAGTTTTCTTGGCCGATTCCTCTGAAACTTTGTCTACAGATAGAAATCGTCATTTTCAGCTTGTAGACAAAATTTCAGAGCAATCAGCCAAAAAATGGCCGAGAAAACGAAGGTGGAATTAGGTTGGGCTTGGAAATTTTCCCATTTTCCCATGTCTAGTAATCATTGACCATTTCAGATACCATGTCTTCGGCCACGTGCATCAACAACACGGCGCCACGACGAACGGCTCGACCACTTTCATCAACGCCTCAATCTGTGATCACAAGTTGCGCACGTGCTACGATCCGATCATTTTCGATATGCCCCTTCCGCCAGGCACCATGAAACAAGATTTCCTCGATCAGTCTTTAAATGGATCACCTTGATTTTTGTTTTTTTTTAAATTGTCTATAGCTTTCATTTCACCCAATTTTAGCGCTCACTTAAACCTTTTTTTTGCATAATTTTACTTCGAAACTTGTCAACCTTTTACAATTTAAACCTTCAATTTAAACCTTATTAAAGTGGGTTACCGTATCTCTTAGCTGTCTACTTTCTAAACTCGTTTCTCGTTAAAGTACTGTAAGATTTCAGTATCGAATCTTTCTGCAGTAGCTGAATATTTACTAATACAGTTTTCTACACTTTTCCAGCATACAGTGACAAGACAAGATACTGTAATTTCATAGTATTTCGAAATTTTTGATGTAATTTTAAAACTTTCCAAGGAAAGGTCAACTGACTGAGTCGACAAAATGCTATGCGAACTCTTCCGCACAAAAAACACTAGTCAACACTTCTTGAAAAAAAGGGAAAAGAATCTCGATCCGCAACTAGGCCGCTAAGATTCAAATCAACATACTTTCAGAGTCCTAACAAAACTTTTGACGCTTAGAACTCCTGGCAGGTTGTCATCTACGAAAAACGGAACACATATTCGCAAGCAGCAGAAAATTCTGCGTTGAATCGTATAGGTCGCATAGCATTTAGCCGGCTCAGCCAATTGATCTTCCCTTGTTTCATTTTTCGTTTTTTTTTGTTCGCCTAGCTTGTACATTCTTTTTCTTTCTTTATTATACTTAGCCGATTTTACTTTCTATCTCCTCACACCTAGCATAATGACATCACTTTTTTTGTCTTCAGTTCTCATGAAAATAAAAATAAAAACTTGAAATAGTTTTTTTGTCTTTTTAGTTTTCAAATTTTATCCATTAAAGCCAAAAATTGATATGAATGTAGAGACGGTAAGCGAGAAGAAAAAAGAAAATATCAAGCCGGGAGAGCTGTGAAATGATGTGAACATTGAAAAAGTACAAAATTAAAACTTCTTGATGATTTACCGTATTCTCTCTAATAGTAGTGCACCCAGAGCGTCGCCTAAATTCCTCGAAATCTCGAAAAGCGTTTATCAGAACCTATCGATGTGGGGCCGGAAAATGTAGCTGACGATGAGAGCTAGTGGGGGGATTTGAGTGTTGAGCTTCTGCGAAAACTTAGAAAGCTGTAAAATAGTCACCAACTCGGCAGGGTGCACTATTAGGGAATGCACCTTAAGGTTTGCCTAAATTGCTCGAAATCTCGAAAAGCGCTTATCACAACCTATCGATTTGGGGTCGGAAAATGTAGCTGACGATGAGAGCTAGTGGGGGATTTGAGTGTTGAGCTTCTGCGAAAACTTCGAAAGCTGTAAAATAGTCACCAACTCGGTTCGCCGGGGTGCACTACTATTAGAGAGAATACGGTAAACAATTTTAGTTTTCTAGTTTTCATGGAACACCAGAATCCTTGTGCTCCAAAAAATAAAAACACTAAAAATCTCCACAGAAAAGCTCGATATTCGAATAAGAAATCACATCGCCGAAATGAAATGTTCGAAAAATGATTTGAAATAAAAAGAATTGGCATAGAAATGAAAGACGAATGTCCAAAAAAGACAAAAAAATGATGCAAAGATGCGTTCTTTTCCTAAAATTTGACACCAGATTCAGTAAAGTTTCAGTTTTTTTGTCTCAATAAAGTTTGTCTCTGTTTTCGATTTATTTGAAGATGAAAGATTGAAGCTTTTCTGATAGTAGCTACAGTTTGAACTACAGCTTTTTGTGATCCAATGCCTATTAAGTACCTTTACTTTAAAGTGACCAAACCCAATTCAGGGTTTGGTCACTTTAAAGTAAAGGTAAAGGTACTTAATAGGCATTGGATTGGCCTTGCATTGAATCAATAGTACAGTCATGGAGAAAAGTCTTTTAACGTTGGTTTTTAGAAGTTTGTTCTTTGTATATCTTGGTCCAAATCCGACCAATTTGCAAACGGTTAAAAGATTTAAATTTAAAGAGATTTAAAGAGCTTATTATCTCTAATTTTAACATTACAAAAAGATGGATTTGACAATTTATCAGGTGTCATGAACTTTTTAATAAAACAAAAATTGAGCCAAAAATTGATGGACAAAAGTCTTTTAACATCACAGTTTTTTCGAAGAAATTTCTTCTTTTTCTGTCTTTTTCCTTTTGATTTCTGGTTACTAACTGTAATTTTTTAGATGCCCGACGCCTATTTATCAACTTCTGACAAAGATAAAATTGTCGAAGCTCGAAAAAATGAAAAAGCCGTCGCTGAGCTCTTCCGCTGTACCGAAACAAGTGTATCGCTTGTTGTCTTCAGGGTCAAACTCACGGGGAACGTTCATCGTGCATCAAAAAGTGGACGTCCACCAGTTACAACTTTACGAGAAGGCAATGCGCTCGCTCTGGCCCAAGATATACAAAGAACAAACTTCTAAAAACCAACGTTAAAAGACTTTTCTCCATGACTGTACTATTGAATGCAAGGCCAATGCAAGGCCAATCCAATGCCTATTAAGTACCTTTACCTTTACTTTAAAGTGACCAAACCCTGAACTGCTTTACATAAATCTTTGAAGTATCACTTTAGACAAAAAAATCCTAGAAAATCTATGCAACGAGGTAGGGAGCCGACCAAAAGATCCCGATTGTGGAGGCGGCGAGGAAGAAAGTGAACAAATAGATACACAGTCGGTCGACCACCTCAATTTATAATCTACTTTAGGTACTGTAAGCTTTTTTTTAAACGATATCCAGTAGTTTTGCTACTCTCTATCAGTTTACAATAGTTTAAACGAGATTTTCTCACCATTGCCGCGAATTTCCAATTGTTTGCCGCTGTCTCCTCGCGATCGTTTTCCACCATGCGTTTTGTGACGATCTAAGCTTTTTTTTCTAGATATATATATATATAGATATATAACAAATATAGAGATATAGAGATAGCCCGCCTAACGGCTGGTTTTTCTGGATGTTTTGGGGACCGATGGGTTTTGTTGCCGTGGAGCAGTGGATAGCGCGACGGTCTATCGCCCATACGATCCAGGTTTGACCTCCCCGTGCGACTCGAATTCAATTTTTAAAAAATCCAAAAGCACATTGCACAACTACATGTGATTCCCTATTCAACGGCACAAAAATCATTGCAAACGGTCCTCTGGGGGCTGAGGAGTGCACAGACGGACAGCGCGCACAGACGGACAGCGCGCACAGACGGACAGCGCGCACAGACGGACAGCGCGCACAGACGGACAGCGCGCACAGACGGACAGCGCGCACAGACGGACCGCGCAACAGACGGACACGCGCACAGACGGACAGCGCGCACAGACGGACAGCGAGCACAGACGGACGCGCGCACAGACGGACGCGCGCACGACGGACAGCGCGCACAGACGGACAGCGCGCACAGACGGACAGCGCGCACAGACGGACAGCGCGCACAGACGGACAGCGCGCACAGACGGACAGCGCGCACAGACGGACAGCGCGCACAGACGGACAGCGCGCACAGACGGACAGCGCGCACAGACGGACAGCGCGCACAGACGGACAGCGCGCACAGACGGACAGCGCGCACAGACGGACAGCGCGCACAGACGGACAGCGCGCACAGACGGACAGACAGACGTCTTAGTCCCTTTATATATAGTAGATATATATAGAGATATATAACAAATCTATTATCTCTATATATCCAAGGTATCTAGAAATAATAGATTTGTTAACACAATGGGCCCCACTTGAAATTAACATAATTTGTGGAGGGATTAAGCTAAAAATTTGCAGACAGGGGTTTTCGGGGATGCGAAATCCGAATTCGGTATTAGTCTCTAGCTATAGTAGCTTGAAATATTTGAAATAGAAGTCTGCATTTCGTCCATTTTGAGGTGCCCTCAACTTCGACATTAAAGAAACATCCTCTTGACTGATTTTAATAATTTTGTTGTCAAAAGATACCCTACCATCTTTTCTAATAAAAGAGATCGCAAAAATGTTGAAAAATAACAAAGTTATTAATGCTTTTTTTGTGAAAAAAACTCAGTTATTCTGGAAAATTTGCGCCATGTGCTGCGCGCGTTTAAAACAATGAAAATTTTCATGTTTACGTAGTCGCGCGGCTTTTGGCACATGGCTTTTGGGTACAGGACTTGGTTTGGCTCTTTTTATGATCCATTTCAGTTTAATTACCCAAGTTTTTGACTGGCTTGGTAGTTGATAATTAACGATGGATTCGGATTTCACGAGAACAATTTTTTGTGTTGATCTGGTAAAATCGTTCTAGTCTCAGAGATCAAAACACATTGTCGTTATCATTGTCGCGAATTTGTTAATATAATCCGAACCTTTAACTCATTGTAGATACGATGTAGTACAAGGAGCGTTGCTTGTTGACCGACATCAACGGGTGGAGGTGACTAAACAATTCTAGTACAGTCTAGTACAGTTTAAGCTGATATTTTAATCTTTTAATGTTATTTTGGTAAAATTTTAATGCTAAATTTGATTTGTCTTTGATTTGAAAGATTGATTTAATACCTGCGATAGTTGTGAGATGGGCATTTGCTGAGGGAAAGGACCGTGACCGTTGTTGAGCGAGTGCTGCGATTGAGTTGGATGCAGGACTTTGACGATCGTTCTCTCCACATCCAGGGAATTCGATCTGTTTAGCAAGAAAATGTACTTTATAAACTGGATTGTGCTTCAAATATCAATTTCGATTTGCGGCTCACCTTGAGATACTTGTTGCCTCCTTGACATTTCTGAGCAACGACTCTGAGTGAGGGCCACGCGTTTTTCGCCAAATCGGCGGCAGCTTGGACCAGCTGAAATCATAGCCGGGACGATTCATTCGCAATATCCACGGAAGCCAATAGAGAAATACGGCTCTTGTCTGCAAAAGGTAAACCTAGATCATCATCGAGCTCGTTATGAGGCTGTCACACTACAATCAGCTTCTTGGGGCCTAGTGGATCGTCTGCTAGGCTCGTTATGAGGCTGTCACACTACAATCAGCTTCTATAGTCTAGTGGATAGTCTGCTAGACTCCCGAACCCATTGCTTTCTTTACTCCAAAGTTCGGAGTCCCATTATCTTCAAATTTTTTTTCGGTTTTCAAGATTTTCTACTCTAAATATCTCGCCTTTGTGAAGCGTTCCTGCAAAAATTTAAAAACGGATTCAAGATCCCCATGACCGACACTATAAAATAGACTTGTTCTCGGAAGCCAAAAGGTCAGCTTAACTCAGTGCTTTCCCCCTTCCCCCTTTCCCAGAATGGAAATTCGAAAATAAGCCTAATAACTTGAAAGCTTTTTTTAAAATTAACTATAAACTCTTGATGCTTTAGTTTTTTTTAAACCGACCACATTTCCCATCTCGTGGGTTTCCGAGGTTCTATAGTGCAAGTTGAGCACATAAACGGTGAAAACTGTCGATGCTGTCACCACAATCATACAACACGTGAAAAAATCCCTGTAAATGGTGAAATTGATCAAAAATAGCAGAAAATTGAGAGAAATTCGATAAACCTATCAATGGAACGGCTTCCGATGTTGGTGGAGACAAATCGGAGACAATCGACAAGAAGAAAATGATCGACAACAAGACGGTGATCTCTGAAAATTTTGCCGATTATCAATTGCTGTATTTTTGAATCGAAAATTGCTCTTTACAAGTACTAGACTTGTTTCCGGGTATAGTTTTCATCTCAACAAAACCAACAAAACAAATTCTAATTCTAATTTGAATCGATTCTCACTGAAACCCCAAATTTTCAGTAATGAATTTCGTAAATTTGAAAGCAATGAATCTCCTCTCCTGGCATACTCATTTCTGCAAATCTTCTCACAGCTAGGGAAAGCAGTGCACTAGGAAAGGTGGGTTTAAGCTTTTTAAGCACCAAAATTGACCAAATACGGTTCTCAAATCAACTCACGCAATGTAATCTTCTCCCCAGCATCGGGTGGAAGCGTGAAACCGAGTAGCGTCATCATTGTCGTCAAAATGCATGGCATGATCAAGTTGAAGCCTGAATTTTGATCAATTTTAATCAATTTTGATCGATTTTGATCAATTTTGATCGATTTTTGCTCGATTTTTGCTCAATTTTTCCTCAATTTTGCTCAATTTTTCCTCAATTTTGCTCAATTTTCATTTTCTATTCATAAACAAACCATAATAAAGTGTTCTTCGTCGTAAATGCAAATAAAAGGTGAGATCAAGATACGGCTCATCGCAACAATCGTAGCGTTTCACATTTCGTGACACAGTCGTCACTAAAAGCCTTAATTTCTTCTCTTTTCTCTTGTGTCCGACTTCCATGGCCAACTCGTATCTTAGCCGGGAGGTCAGGGGCTCAATCCCAAAGGCTTCATTATTAGCCTTTCCTACATTTCGAATTTTGCTTTTGCTTTTACGACATTATTTGGATGAATAAACGTGAGTGATTAATAAAAATATAATAAAAACTGACATGGCAATGCCCATTCACCGTTCTCGAGATACTCCGAAATGTCGAAACCGCCTTCAGCCGGCTGGAGATCAAATTTGTCTCCATCGTATGTCCATGAGCCAAACTGAAAATTGAATGCTGAATGCTTAGTTGTCGGATAGCTCAAAAGATAGAGAATCTCAAGAGCTTTCGAATGGATTAAAGTACACCTGAAAATACCAACCCTAAGGAAAGTTATAACGGTTCGACACAGACGATCCTCGTCGAAGCAATCGAGTCAGCCTAACCACTTTAGAACTTCTTCTTTTTGTTTCAAATATCTTTAGAGTGTTAATTCATTCGAGATTCTTTGATTCTTTGATCTAGGAAGTTTGATTGAACAGGAGAGGTGGACGTGTTTCGCAGCCTAGTTAAAGTGGTTAGGCTGACACGCCTCCCAACTGTTCAAACTACCTCGCGACTGATAGAGCGATAGCTCAAAATATAGAGAATCTCAAGAGCTTTCGAATGAATTGAAGCACACTCAAAAAGATTTATTTTAATTCTAAAGAAAGTTAGAGTGCTTAGTATCACTGAACGGTAAAAAGTGATCAAAGATTCATGATCCTAATTAGAAACGATTCTCAACTGCTCTTACAAAAGTACTAGACTTGTTTCCGGGTATAAGTTTTGATCTCAACAAAACCAACAAAAACAATTCTAGTTCTAATTTGAAATCGATTCTCACTGAAACCCCAAATTTTTAGTAATGAATTTCGTAAATTTGAAAGCAATAAATCCCCTCCCCTCTTAATAGGCTAATGTTTGCCGAGTTTCGTTAAAAGTTTACACAAATTAAGCAGCGACTTTCATTTGGTAAAGGGATTTAGTACAATTTCGGTTTAAATTCAGCTCCATTATGCTAATCTCTAAGCCCTAAAAAGTGTTGAAACTGACCTTTAGAAAGCAAACTTGTTCATCAAAGGGAAACCATTTAATATCAATCTGAAAGTGATTTTTGTGCAAAAAAAACGACTCGTTTTTCTCATTCACCTTACAAGAAATCTTGAAAATTCCCGGCGGAACCCATGAAATTTTACCCGTATTGTAAAACCAAAAAGAATATTCAGTTAAAATGATTATTTTATTTCCTGAATTACCAGCATATTTGTCGGATAAGCCAGAGTCGAAATTTGAATCAACACTTGAAATATACATATAATAAAATTCGTTTTTTAACTTCATTTAAAAGTCAGGGTTTTCTAAAACTCAAAAAAAATTTAAACGGGAACAGGGGAAAGATTATCCTCGTTTTAGAATTTGTTAGAAAATTTTTGTCAGTTTTTAATTATTTTTTTGCTCAAAACGAGGATATAGTCTCAAATCAAAAACAAGTAAAATGCTCTTTTTTTTCATTTACCTATCCTCGCTTGCGAAGCTAAAATGGAAAAAATGAGAATTGATCTTTGAAAAACTACTCTAAAACGTGGATAATCTTATCGGGGATATATAAAGGGATTATGACGTCTGTCTGTCTGTGTGTCTGTCTGTCTGTCTGTGTGTGTCTGTCTGTGTGTCTGTTCGTGGTCTGTGTTCTATGTCTGTCGTGTGGGTCTGTGTCTGTGTCTGTCTGTCTGTGTGTCTGTCTGTGTGTCTGCCTGTCTGTCGTGTGTGTATGCCTGTGGCTCTGCTCCTGTGTGTGTGTCTGTGTCTGTCTGTGTGTCTGTCTGTCTGTCTGTGTGGGTGTCTGTCTGTCGTCTGTGTGTGTCTGTCTGTCTGTGCGCGCAGTGTCTCTTTGCGCTCTTCGGACCCCAGAGGACCGTTTGCAATGATTTTTATGCCGTTGAATAGGGGAATTACATGTAAGTACGGCAACTGCTTTTGAATGTTTTTAAAAAGCACAATTCGAGTCGCACGGGAGATCGAACCCGGATCGTATGGGCGATAGACCGGCGCACTATCCATCGCTCCACGACGACAAAACCCACCCATCCCCAAGACATCGCGAAAACCCAAACCGTTAGGCGGGTTTCTCGGCTGATTATAACATGATATTACCTATTATATAAAAGAACATCAGGTTTCCAGATGCGACCGGCCGGAAACGAACGTCCGGTGATGTTTCCATATTCTTTTGATGTCCCACAAACGTTGTGAGTCGAACCAGGTCTGAAATAATCAGGTCAAAAAAGTTTACAGAAAGAATAGTTATACTTTTCGTATCCAAAAGTATCCAAAAATCGGATCATCTGACCCTGACATTACTGCAGACTAGACCTGAGCACTATAAACTACAAAAACGAACTATCAAAATACAAACACTTCTAAATTGCTTCAAATCTACTGGATTGATAAGAGCCATAGCCCAAAAGATAGAGAATCTCGAGAGCATTCGAATGGAGTTAAAGTACACCTGAAAATATCAATCCTAAGGAAAGTTATAGCAATTTGAAACAGACCATCTTCGTCAGAGCAATCGAGTCAGACTAAACCACTGTAACCTTCTTTAGAATTCATATCTTTTGTGTGCTTCAATTCATTCGAAAGCTCTTAAGGTCTCCATCTTTTGAGCTATAGATCCATGTTAATCCAGTAGATTTGAAGAAAGTTAGAAGCGTTTATAGTTTACATTTGTCGTTTGTAGTGCCCATGTCATCCCGCATTCTCAAACTCGAAAAGACTCACTCATAATCGAGCCCAAGGGCGTTGACATTGACGACCTGATTTTTCTCATCAACATCTATAATCTGTTGAAGAGAAACCTGAAATCATTATTTAGATCGTTTTTCCATTTACAAATTCACTGACCTTGAGTTTAACGGAAACGGCCTGTTTGTGATTTTCAACCGGACGCTCCAAGACGTTGTAGTCACGCATGAGTTCCTTAAAATTCTTATCATTTTGTGATTCTCTTTCGAAAAACCCATTCAAGTACTGAAAGTAGTACAAATAAAGAGTCAATTTTTAAAAAGAAATTCATTCTTCCAACCTCATAAAGTCTTCTTTCGTGGTAGGAGGGGGTGGCGACGACGAAAAGCCAGGCCAGCCATAGAGCCTGGAAAACTAAGTACAGTGTTAAGCCTTGCTTTTTTAACTGATATTACTAGGTCTGTTTTAAAGGCAATATCTCTAGGCTTCTGACGCGTACAGAAGTTGTTGGGCCAAAAAATAGGCTAGCGTCTGACCGGCAGCTCTGACCTCTGTGAAGCTCTGGCCTGGCCTAGTTTGTATTAGCTGGCGTTGAATTTTGGTTGTTATTCAATAGACCACGCGTTTATACCTTTTCTCACAACCCTTTTTCTCAATAGAACGCCAGGGCTGACTGACTAAAAGCCCTGTATCTTAGTCGGGAGGTCAGGGGTTCAATCCCGTAGGCTAAGATCATTGGTTCTTTTTTTTCTCATATACATACCGTAAATACTGTAATAGTACCCCACCCCGCTCGTACAGTCTCGTAGTCGCAAAAGTTTTTTAGTATTTCATCTTTTTTCAAAGCACCCGTACTTTCAAAAAATGCATCTTTGATATCAAAAAATAGCCCTGAATTTCAGCTATTTTTTGATACCTAAGCGCGCATTATAGCATAAACCAGATTCGAGAAAAACTAGCTCAAAGCTAGACTACGCAACACTCCGCACCGTCATTATGGGGGTGCGGGACTATTACAGTATTTACGGTAGATTTTTTTTCTTCCCTACATTTAGGGCTTAGGGGTTGTGCTTGTTTATTGTTTTTGCCATATAATCGAGTCATTCCACTCACCCGCATGCGGTCATCGGGAATTCTTGCCACCTGATCTCACCGTGCTGCTCTCTTTTCACAATCCACTCTTCCGAAACCACCAATCTTCAGAAGTCAAATCAATCTATAATCGTCGAGTAGCTTTAAATAAAGTAAAAAGAATACAATTTGCCAAACAGTTACACATTCGATAAGTATAAATGAATCTTAGAAAATGCAAGAACAATGATTTAACAACCTAAAGAACATCAAAATCATCAAAAAAAAACGTAAATGATCATGGAAAAACTATAAAAAACAATATAAAACTATATAAAACTATATAAAAACTATAAAAAACTATAAAAAACTATAAAAAAATGTTCATTTATTTGTAAAAACAATCAAATCTCTCTAAAAAAAAAGAAAAGAAAGTAGCTTTTTTGCTTTTTTGGTGGGTTCATTTGTTCGGTTATTGGTTATTGGAATGGGAAAAAGAACGGAAATGAGATTTTCGGCCAGATGAAACCCATTCGAAAGGCTCGTTATATTCAGTTTTTTTTTTTACTTTTAAAGCAATCTTTATGTATATAGAACAGATGGTTTGGAAAGGAACGGGTGGTGAAACTCTCTTTGAGTTCTGTAAAATGAATTGGCTTTAAAAGAAACTCTTTGAGTTCTGTAAAATGAATTGGCTTTATGAAATCGTTCAGTTAGGTCAAAAAAATAGTTTTCATAGCTTTCTTCGCTCTTTCACACAGTCTCCACACCATTAAAGCCGAAAATTTGATAGAATAACGAATTAAAATCGATTTTCAATGCTTTTATACAATACAGACGTTTACGAAATCTTCCCAAAAGCGAAAATCTCTTCAAAAATTTATGACTAACCAACTTTTTTTAGAAGATTCTTCTATAATTCGAATTCTTGGCATTACTCTTGGCATTACTCTTGGCATTACTCTTGGCATTACTCTTGGCATTACTCTTGGCATTACTCTTGGCATTACTCTTGGCATTACTCTTGGCATTACTCGAATTCTTGGCATTCGAATTCTTGGCATTACAAATGGATAAACAACAAGGAAAAACGTGAAAATAGCAAAGATTCTCATTTTCAGAAGACATTTTATACTCAAAAATGGTAACATCATTGCTTTCTAAGGTAAAATTCACTAATTTTCAATCGAACAAAGTTTCGAATCTTTTTTTTTCAATCTAATTTTTAGATAAAGTTTAAGTAAAAACCAAAAGAAAACTCTCAACAATAGCCAAGCAAAAACTTATAAATGTCAACTTTTCTTTTCGGCAAAGCTAGAAGAAGCTAGAATTCATGTAGGAGAAAAAAAGGGACGGGTGAATAGCTTGAGAAAAAGTGAAGAATGACCAAAGTGAAGAGAAAAGAAAGGAAAAAGACAAAGATAACTGGAAATCTGGAAGAAAGATAGGGTGTTCCCCTTTTCATATCCTCTATATGGACGGGGAAATGGAAAGAAGCTCGAAGAAAAGTCTTTAGACCGCGAGGAGGATTGAAAGGAGGATGGAAAGGAGGAGACCCCTCAACGCCCCTGGGGACAACACCCAAAATGGAGGACTCTTTTTCGATGATAAGAGAAAAGAAGTGAGGAAAAAGCCGACGAATGAGATGGTAGACGGTTTGGAGAGGATCCTCTCATTGGGTTGGCTATAGGTGGAGTAGTGATCTTGTAAGATTAAAGGCAGGGTATCGAGCGAGGAGATGACTTGAGATAGGAGATGATAACTTGAGATGACTTCAATAGAATAGCTATAGTAAGGCATAAGATCCTATCCTGTCGGCAATAGGATATATGTCGCTCAGTGGCAGGGCATTTGCCCGATAGGCGACAGGTTCAGACCGACATCGATGTTTTGTATTCCCAGTCCCAACTCATAAAAGAGACGGCTTGAATCTTTTGGGTTTTGAACTAGTTGAACTGTTGTATCAGGGTTGATAGGATGTCCATCAGGAGATAGGCATTGAGATCTTCAATTGAATATAGATTTTCGTTGAACTGCTGTAGTTGGGTTGACAGGATCAAGGCTTGCCCAGGCTACAGGTGAAGAATGAGATGATAAACTCAAAATAGCCTCATAGCATAATTTTTAGGTTTTTACATCCATTTGATGAGGGATGGAAGAGAAAAAACTAGTGAATGAGGTTATAAAAAAGAACGACGGACCAGGAAAATCCACTAGTAGATGATGAAAATCATCTACTAGTGGATTTCCAGGTGCTTCTACTTGATCGAGATGATCAAGTAGAAGCAATGAGTGAGAAATTAGGAGAGATTTCTGAACTTGAGTGACGTTGATTCAGAAGGGTGAGTCATTTTTTGATCTATCGTTATAGTAAAGAATTTAAATTATTCATTATCTTTTTTCTGCTTGTTTTGTTAATTTTATTTCCTATTTATGTGTTAATTTAGGTGTCTGCCGATCTCTGATGAAAGTTCAAGAATTTTCGGGATTCAAATTCATTTTGTCAATTCATTTTTATAATTTCTAGCAATAAATCTAACAAATAAACACGAAATAAATTAATTTTCTCGAAAAAATTCTTTTACTGAGAATAGGCTACGATTATTACCCCGCACAAAGAGAGATGAAAAGAATACGGCAGTTCTAATAGTTCAAAGATTTCAGAACTACCTTCATTCACAAGGAATCGTCCAACGAAACATTACCGAAACATAAACATTAAAAGATTATTACCCTCCCCTTCCCTTTAAGGTCGAGAAGTGAGCAAGTACAGCAATCGAATGAACGCAAGACAAAATGCAAATGTAAATTCAAATTCAAATCCAAAAGAAATATGTCAGTATTGAAAAAAACTCAATCAACGATTTTGCAAGCTAGATTGAACAGAAATAACCCAGAATCTCTGACTGGTTATTTCGATTTTGCAACCTTCGAATGAGTTTTGGTGTGTGTTTGAAGATTTTCAACGCTCCGTCAACCACTCCACAAAGAGAGATGAGAAGAATACGGCAGTTCTAATAGTTCAAAGATTTCAGAACACCCCACAAAGGACGTCCACCGAAACATTACCGAAACATAAACATTACAAGATTATTACCCTCCCTCCCTTAAAGTCGAGAGGACGGAAAAGTACAGCAATCAAATGAACGCAAGACAAAATGCAAATGCAAATCCAAATTCAAATCCAAATAAGAAACATTTCTAGTATTGAATATAAAACTCAATCAACGATTTTGCAAGTCTAGATTGATACAGAAATAACTCCAGAATCTCTGACTGGTTATTTTCGATTTTGCAACTCTTCTAATGAGTTTCGTTGTGTGTTTGAAGATTTTCAACGCGCCGTCAACCACTCCACATGGGAAAATCCTTTCAAAACGAGACGAGCTATTAGAGAAAAACTTTCACCACTCACAACTATTAACAGAAAAAAAAGAAAACAGAAAAAAGAAAAAGAAATGCTACTTCTAGTTTCGAAAAAATGCTAGAATTGAGGTGGATCTATTACTAAAAACTAGAGTTCGGCAAACAAAACCAAAACCAAAACCAAAACACCAAAACAAACTAAAACTCAATTTGCATATAAATTAACATGTAAATTTAAAATTGTAAAATGCAAAATTGCCTTTCACTTTTTCTCACTCCACAAAATCTCGCGGCCGAAAAAAGGACCAAAAACACGACCTCGAAATTTCGAAACAAAAATGAAATGGCATCCCATAGGCCTATGGGATAGATTTTTGGACGCTGATTTCAAATCTGCAAACAGATTTTCGCTAGCTCCTCCCAATCGCGAGATATTGGCGAGTTTTGTAGTTTTGGTTTTGGTTTTGGTTTGTTTTGGTTTTGGTTTTTGGTCTGTTTTGGTTTTGGTGGTTTTGGTTTTGGTTAAGTTTTGTTTTTCCGAAGTCTACTAAAAACAAATTTTTAACATAGTTTTATAGTTTTTTTTGATGAAATTTTATTTATATACTATAAGTAAATTGTTTTATCAATCATTTTTACTATTTTCAATCAAATTTTACATTTTGTTACTAAAGTTACAGACGAAATGTGGTCGGAAAAAGTAGCAACTACGCCTACTTGTCACTATTTTCAATCACATTTTGTGATTTGACTACAAAATTTTACAAATTACACTTGAAAAGCAACAAGCAAAGACTTAGGAATTCGAAAATTTTGAAGTTCTTACCGATTAAACACGACTTTCTATTGGTAAACTCAATAATGAATAGCGCCAATCGATTCCCCGTCCTCAAAAACCCCTGGGTACAAATTTACACCTCAATATCTTTTTTTGTACCATTTACAATGCAAAATGTTCTTTGTGCGCTCATGTAATCGCTCGTCATCTTGCAAACCGCTCTGATATAAGAGCTCTGAAAAATGATGGCGACTCTATGGCGACCCTGACACTTCCCTCTTGCACTCCGAAAAGGAAAACGAGGGGGAGCGACTGAGCCGGCCTCACTGTTTTAGCCGTTACTATGCGCAATTCTTGGAAAATTCTTGGAAACAATTTCTGCACTGGATTTGGCTCTATTCCCACCAAAAATTTCATCTCCCGTTAAATCAAGATAATTTGGCTTTAGTGAGAATCGATCTCAATTCGGATCCCTCCTCTAACTGCCTAGACTCAACTATTTCATTTACAAAATTCACCAACTTGCAAGCAATGTAGCAAGTCATTTATATCAAAAGCTATTAATCAAAAACTAGCCTCTGCATTAAGCTACTCAAAATTAGCATTGAAAACTGATGGCAATTGAAAAATGATGGCCACTAAACCCAGAGATGTCTTCCCCAGCCAGCCACTAAACTCAGAGATGCCACAGATGGCAATCAGGTGGGCAGCTTTCCATGGGAAAAAAAGGAAAACTTGGAAAAGATTCTCTTGAATAAAATTACGGTGCCCAGCTCTTGCCAACTCTTCCCCCGTCTATTCCTTTCCATTCTCCCATCTCCCCTAGGGCCTTTCCCTCCATCCCTAAACCTTAGCTCATCCCGGTAACGAGCTATAGCTTTGAATTCCCAAAACGGGAACGCCA